GGTTCGAGCCCCGGCTGGGCCAGTCGGCATTTCTGTGTGGAGTATGCATGTTCTCCCCGTGTTTGTGGTTTCCTCTGGGTGCTCCGGTTTCCCCCACAGTCCAAAGACAATGCGGTACAGGTGAATTTGTATAAGCTAAATTGTCCGTAGTGCATGAGTGTGAATGCAAGAGTGTATGGGTGTCTCCCAGGGTTGGGTTGCAGCTGGAAGGGTATTCGCTGTGTAAAACATAAGCTGGATAAGTTGCCGGTTTATTCCGCTGTGGCAACCCCTGATTAATAAAGGGACTAAGCTGAAAAGAAAATGAATGAATGAATAACTCTGAAGTGTATATGTTATCATATGTCACCTTTTCTCCTGAAACTACACAGAGGGATTCTGTGTCTATGCATTTTGAATTCCTCAGGCACCTCTCCAGCTGTCTGTTTAAGGTCACCAATAACTCTGACTGCCTGCAGAACACACACACATAGGAACACAATAAGACACTCAGGCATTAGGGAAACAGAAAACACACAGATAAGAGAATAGACTGCAAGAATGTTAACCTGTTTGGTTCAAAGGCTGGTGATGCCATAGGAGACAGTTCCAGATTAAAAAACACGATGCCTTCAGTGGGGCGTGAATCTTTTGGAGGTACAAGCTCACAGGATACCTGACTCAATACCCTAAAATATATAATAATAAATAACATATTCTGAATGAAAAAGTACATCAAAGATAATGAGATAGCACCCAAAACTGAAATATTTTGTAATTTCCTCAACCTTTACTTGTTACATAAGTTTCTTTCTTCTGTTGAACATCAACAAGTAGGAAAAACAAACACTATAGTAGTCAATGGTTACATCTTTCAACTTTTTTCAAAATATTTTGTGTTCAACAAAAGACACACATAAAGAACCACTTATGGGTGAGTACATCAAGTAATATTTTTTTTATTTCATATCATTCTCGTTTAATGGTCTTCTCCAAAGATAGTGAGCAAATCATGCTTGTAATATAAACATGTAACTGTAAATACATGTATAGCACACGGTTACCTTGTTTTTCCGAGCTCAACGACGCAGCAGCCATAATCGGTTCCAAAACTGATTTTAATATTCCGGTAATCGTATGTCTGTCTCCCATCTAAGCGCTACAAAACGGTACACAGATAAAGTTAACATCAGTCAGCAAGAGGTGTGAATAGTGGACATAGACTGTAAAATATAGTCAACTGCTAATAATCAAAACCATTAATTACGAATATCACAGCTAATATGTTCACAAGGGACAACTTACTTTTTTCTCCTTTATAGCTTTAAGAAGGAAAAGCCTCTCGCAGTTTGACAGCGGAGTATCCCTCATTTTGACAGCTTGAATAGCCTATTTCACATAAACAACTCGATTTGCCAATGTATCATTTCACATGCTCCATTCAGAGTAGAGCACGCGCGGTGTTATGACGTCAGTCAGTATAACAGTGGCGCGCAGCATATGCGTGTTCACTGAAGGGGAGTGGACGAGCGAACACTGGTGGCTATGCCATTACTTTTTTCTCTCTTTATTTTACTTTTTAAAATTTTATTTGGAATAGAAAAAAAATTCAATAAAAACAAAGATCAAGCGGTTGTCATATGGGTTACAAAAACAAGTCATACATTTGAAGTAGCCTACATTATCACAAATTGTTTACAATGACATACTCAGTCCATTTTTGCCAGAACTTGTTGCACTTTCTTGAATTAAATCTTAGTTTAAAAGTCAGTTTTTTTTTCCATACAGTGTATTTCCTTTACAAATCATATGCATTGAACCCTTGTTGGAGGATCAACCTGAAACGATTTTCGAGTTATGGCTTTTCTGCTATACTTACCTAAAGGATTTGAATTAATTATTTGTCAATAGTTGGAATAATTTCTGGTATTTTCCTAAGGTATAATTTAATAAATTAGTAGTCTAATTCTTCTCCAGTCGCTATTTCAAGGTCTGTATTTTGAGCAAAAAAAAAAAAACATGAAAACGGTTTGCCATTGAGGTTCCACATTGTCTCCAATTCAACAAATTTTCCAAAAAAAGAAAAAAATAATGTTCCTAAGGGCAAATTTTACTGGGCATCCTTCATTGACCTCATAAATAGGCCTACTGCATTCCCAATAAAACAAAAGAGGTTTAAAATTCTCTATAAAGTATATCCAGTGAATAGTACTAAGTGGAGGTTGATAGTTTATGTTCATTTAACTGAGGACGAAACCCTGAATCACATATTTTTTTTCAGTGTGAAAACTCAAAAAGCTTTTGGAATATATAACAGCTTCATAATTACATTGCTTCTTCCAGCCCCTTTCAACTACAAGATATTAGGCCTATTTGTTACTGTAAAGGTGAAACCGATGTACTGTTTTATTTTTGTATGGGAAATATTTTATTCTCAAACAAAAATTCTCGAATTCGCAGCCTTCTATTCACATTTTTTATTGAAATTGATGTTTTTATTAAATCTCTTAGACTGGTTAAAAACAAGAAAAGTGATAGATTCTTGGATTATTATGATAAGTATTTTGGAAATATCACGGATACATAAGTCCTTCTTTCCTATTGCTGTATTTGTGTTATGTATGTCTGTTTAATTATTTTTTTCCCTTTTTTTACTGGTTTATATGTGTTAATAATATCATTTAACCTATCTGTTAAGTTATTATCATTGTTACTATCATTGTCTTTTTGTCTAGGCTTTGATGGCTTAAAACACTGATTCACATATTCTTTCGTTGTGTAAATATTTTTTACAGTCTATGGAAAGTAAGAAATGCTTTTGGAATAGCTTATATCTTCTTTGTAATTAGCCTACGTTATTTATTGCGATCCCTTTCGATTACAAGATAGTATAAAGGTAAAACTAAATATACTAATATTATATTAATTAATAATTATTAATATTAATATTACTAATATTATTAATTTTGTATGAGCTCGAGCTACAATGCTCTGTAAATATATAAAATAAAAATGATTTATTAAGCAAATTAAGCAAAAAAAAAAAAAAAAAACTAATTTACGCTTCAGTCTACTTTCAGTGCAACACTTTGCATCGTTTGATGGATCATAATCCCATACAGTCTGTCTCAAAATAATGTGATTTATTATTTGATATTATTAAAGCTTTTGTTAAGTCGAATGTGCCTTTGGCAAGTTCACATGTACGCAGATGTCCTTTTAAAAGCGCTGTTAATGGTACCAGCCGAACTCGACTAATCATATGGGGCAGTATATTATTGTTCAGCTGGTCCTCTTGTGCATGTTGTTGCTCTCATAACCTTATGATGGATGAGCCGCGCACTCGCCGATCCTTTGAGCCGCTCGACGTGATGCCCGCTTGTTGAGCACAAAGACGCGTGGACATTTGCATCAAAAGCCACTCTATCATCTCTTGTCTTCCTTTTCCACCTACATTATATTTACACGACACAATAACTCTTCGACCTAGTTCATGTCAAATGTCATGCAGGGTTCAAGCTAAGTAGGAACAAATGTATGCGAATAGCTTTAAGGCTATGGAATCAAAGCTGAAACAAAGACTTCATTAGAAATATTAGGAGATTTAATGGATCCAAATAAGAGAAACTTTTCAGGTACACTGTAAAAAAACTATGTTGACTCAACTCAAAATGTTAGGGAAACAAACTTAAATAACTTAAACTTAAATAAATCTTAAACACTATTCTTGTGGTCTTTGTATTAGACTATTTACTGCAGTGAGTGAACATTTCTTTACTTGTTATCTAAAGGTTCTTTTTTTTACTATTTTAAATGACTGTATTGTACAAAGTATTGTATTTATTAATTTGGGCATGCAGTCATCAAATGATCAAAATGCATGGGCCATGTTTGCTGAAAATGCTATATAATAAGACATTATTTATATATGAAGATATCTTTTTAGTGTCTACAATTTTGTTCCTTTAGGTTACAAATGTATAAGGTACAATTTTGTACCCCTAAAAAGAGGTACAAAATTGTACCTTTTAGGGTACCACCCCAGTGCTAAACTGAGTGAACTTTTTCTTTAGTGTATAGCAACAACATTTTTATGACAAAACAATTGATGCATCACAATTCATAAACTAATTGTAATTTTTGAATACACTAAAATGATTTGACAAAGAAACAAAAAAAATTTTTTTAAGTTGAAAAAAAAAAATTTGATTTAACCAAAAATGTAGGCAGCACTTTTTTAGTTTGCACATTATTTTTCAAATAGCGATTATTTCTCAGCTTTTTAAGCATTCAAAATTTTATAATAGTTAATATAGAACTGATATTATTTTATTTTTATTGAGAGTACAGAATAAATTATTATTATTTAATTATTTTGTAAAACCGTACACTTTATCATTCTGTAGCCTGCATTAATTGAATAATATAGGCTAAACATGCGACATATGCAAACTATTTTCCAAATTCAATCTTTGTCGTTTTTTTTCGTTTTTAACAGCAGAATTTAAATAAGAGGGATATTTTACGATAACCATATAGCCATACGAATACTTTAGGCTACAGTTAAGAAAATAAACATGAAGACCTTTGTAGAAAAATACGTTAGCTTCACAGAAAAAAAAAGATTAATTGGATTTAACCTAATATGTGTATATATGTGGTTGCAAACAATTTATATGGGCTGAATTTAAAGAAACAACTTGCATTTAAATATATTGTTCTAAATTGTTCGCAACCACTTAGCCAACTTTAAAAATTGAGTAAATCCTATATTTTTCAGTGCTAGTGCCGACACGCTGTTCAGAGTTTGTCAAACTAAACAATAAACGAGAGTTTACTTATAAGGCTACATAGCAAAAAAAAAAAAAAGATTGTTTAAGCTATAACGCATGCATTCATCCCATCCGGCTGTTAGATGTGATGCAGGTGGAGGCTGAGATGATGGAGAGACGCGTCAAGAAACGGAAAACAATGAGACCCACCGCCACGTGTCAGTGACCGAATCAATCAACTCCGTTTAATAGCTAATAAAAGCAACTGAGCTCCAACATAAAAACTGGTCGGAGATCGGCACCACAGAGACTTCGCGAGTTTATGATGGAGTACAGCTATCTGACGTCTCCTGCGTATGAGTCCGGGATGGAAACCGGCAGATCCTCGAGCCGTTCGGCGGACTTCAGCTCCTGCACTCCTTCACTTTCCAATACAACAGGTGCAATTTAGGAAACGCCAGCTGCCATTTCCTCTCGCCCGGATCTCACCAAACTTCCCACTACATAACAGGTTGGTCTTATTATAACAATTATATATATTAATATATTCCTTTTAAGTGAAGATTTTCAATTCTTATTTAACTAAAACTTGAAATATAGTTACGCGAAAACTATAGGCTAGGCCTACTTGCAAACCTTTTGATTAAATATTTTTTTAACATCGACTTTTTTCGAGTTTTTAAAATGATTTAAAATGATTTACAATTGTTGTTGTTATTAACATTATTATTATTATTATTATTATTATTATTATTATTATTATTATTGTTAACATTATTATTATTATCAATTCCCATCCCCATCACAAGAATACATTCCATTTTAAAGAAAGACCAATGTACAATGTCAAAAGTGCAATGAAGAATCCCACATAGATGTCTGATATCAAAATATTGCATGACATGTTAATTTCTGGACTCAGTAGGTGTAAACCTATGCAACATGTATTTCAAAATATTGCAAATATTACATATTACATATTTTACCATTTTTTTCAACCACTGAAATCACAAATATGTTCATACATGTTCATTATAAGACATTTATAAAATTATAGCTATATATCTGAACGTGTAAATTTGTGATTCCAATCATTAAAAATATATGTATAGGCCATTTCTTTTATTCAATATTTTGAAATTGTTTCATATGACATTGGCATCATGGTATGACATTTGTCATGCTTTATAAGTGTAATTAATTATAAATTAAGATAAATAAAATGTATAAATAAAATATGTGTTTTTAGTTTGCATCACTAGTCCTAAACCTAACTTTATTTTGAGCTAAACGTCTTACAGTGACCTAGTTATTGGTTTGTTAGTTTTTTGTTAATAGCGTAAATTAAATTAATTTAATTATTAAAATAAAGTGTGACCCATATATCTGTGAAATCTAAATATGAACCTTTATGTCAAATAGCTAGGTTATGTAGTTTGCCATTTCAGATTTCTATTAGAATCTTACCGATCACCCTTTTTATTGGTATATAGTAATTGCTCTATTTTGTTATCGTAAAAATGTATTTTTCTGTAAATTTATTCTTTGATTGAATTTCCAGTGCATTCTAATCTTATGGCTTATGAACGAGGCGTCCAGGAGCGGCGCAAACAAAGGCGCGTGCGCACCATCTTCACCAGCGCGCAGCTGAAAGCGCTCGAGCGCGCCTTCGCACACACTCAATATCCGGACATCTACACGAGAGAGGAGCTCGTGCAGGAGATCCAGCTCACTGAAGCCCGAGTTCAGGTATTTGTCCTTTATTTTTCCTCAAATATCTTGTTTTATTTTAAATTTAAGTGAGCTCATCTAGATCTCCTTGTACACAGCAAAATATGGGGACCCAAAACAACTCTATGGGTGTTAATTTCAACCCTTTGAAAGTGTCTCATGGGGTCCACTCAAAACAGAGTTAAATCAACACTTTCAAAAGGGTTGGCACATTGACACCGAAGTAAGGGTTAATTTTAACTCTGGGCAGAGTTAAAATATGTAACTATATTTAACACCCCCTGGTGTAATATATAGTTATTTTATTCAACTCTCTTGAGTGTAAATATGGTAAAAAGGTCAAATAGACTGTAAATTACAAAATAGAAAAAAAAATTTATTTGAAAACATTCACCACTTCAACAATTCATTCAGTTTTTAAAATGCAACAATGTCAAATATGCTTTAAATGTTTTATTAGTACAGACAGTATCAACAAAATATGTATGACCAGTGCTCAAAAAGGCTGTTTCAGTCCTTTGGTCCAAACTTGATGTTTCATCAGAGCAATTTGAAAGTTCAATATATCGTCACTCATAGTTTTCTTCTGAACGCATAGTTTTCTTCTGAAATTACATTTTAAACAACTTGGCGTGCAAATCTTTCACTTCTGGTGTTTCCTTGGTCCTCCATATCAAACACAGCAGTTTAAATGAAGGTACAAATGCTGTAAACTTGTGTGAAAACAAACTGGAGCTAGGAAATCCCATCAAGCATGTCCTGTGAATGAAGTGCTTCCCAGCCACAGGATGACCTTTTTATCCATGACGATGTAGCAGCTGCTGATCGCTCGTCTGGTGGTTCCTGATGCACAGATATAGGGTGATGCTCCTCTAAGAACTCTTCAAGACTCCAGCATGACTAAGAAAAATGTTTGAAAACAAATTGCAATCAAATTCTATGATATATTTAAAAGAACATTTAAAGTAAATGAAACATTCAAGAAATCTAAACTCACCTTTTGAAAATCTTCACGATGATCCACAACTTGACTCTCCCAGCTGGTTGAGGTGACAGGATATGGAAAAGTAGAAAAAACACATACATCACTGTTGGATCTCCAAAAACAATTAGGTTAACCATTATGGCTAGAACTGGAAAAACAGGCAGCTGTCTGTCCAGAATCCTGAATTTAACACAACACTTGGAGCAAAAATTAGAGGAGCTTAAAATCTTTTATATCATTTAGTGATGCTGACTTCCCCAAAATATTGGCCACAGTGTAAAAAATATTCATAAACTTACAGTTTTCTGTAAGCGTGTGCGTGCATGTGTGTGTGTGCGTGCGTGTTTCTTTACCAGATTCAACTTGTTAGGCCCTTTCAGGTCCAGTATTGACGCCACCTTTCCTGGAGTCTAGCAGATGTTTCAGGTCCAAATATAATCTAAAATATTAGGATAAGCAGAAGAGGAAAAGTGCAAAGCAAAGAGCAAAACATTATTTAAGTAACAGTTCACCCACAATACAAAACTTATCACCTTCATGTCATTTGTTATTCTCTAATGCTCTAAATACCCTCTCAGCTTATTGTGAAACAAATACAGAACTTTATCAAACATACCTTCATTATTCTCACCACATATGACCAAGAAGGTGTGCTTGGTCATTTCACCAACTCTGGAAATACACCATCCGTCTCTAATCAGCCACCGTCACAGGGTCTTGTGTTATTGTATAGAGAACTGTGGCTGTTAAAAAACAACAACACATTAGTATCAAACACATATGCATAACCTTCAGATAAAAAGAGAGATGAACATCACAAAGTATGCCTCACACTTTTTCAGATATCTTTTGATTCAGATGTTGATTATTAATAATAAATCTACAAATCAAACCTGTATCATCATTAGGCTGCTCAAATATGAATCAGTTGATTAATTTTACAGACAGGTGGCTGTTTACAACGCACTAAATTGTCTTTAATAAAACGGAAATGTTGTGTACAGTACATTCTAGGTTTAGCCTATAGTTTTAAGCACAATATCATGTGGGAGAAAAAGCTCGACTAAGATGTTCCTGACTACAGAGATAGCCTAACTTACTGACGTCAGACATCCCGAGTTGGGAAAAGTCATTTTCGGGGGATACAGAGTTGATTTGCGGGAGGTAGCGGGAGAGATGAGTACCTGAAGAGCAATGAGATGAGTTGCGCGCGACGTACCTAAAGAGCGGTGGGGGTGACTTGCGCGCGACGTACCTGAAGAGCTGGGAGGGATGCGGTGGAGAGGGGTGTGCAAAGTGTTTATTGACCGGGCGGGAGACGCGCGATTTCCAGGAGATTATCATTCATTTGCGGGCATCTACTTGGGCATCTGCGAGTCTCTGTGCATTTGCGGGATAACGTTAACGTTAGTTCCGCAACTTCCGGGAGACCTCTGTAATGTCAAATGTCTGATAAAGTGCAAACGCGGTCATTTAAAGACATTAATGTTAACATTCCGACTTTAATGGTTGTCAACACTTAATATAATTCAAGCGTAACTGTTACGTTATCACACGAGTCTATGGACTAACGGTAACGTTATATGGACGGCCACGAATGAACCAGTTTAAAAGGGCCTCAGTGTTTAAAATAACCAAATTAACGTACACGAATAACAAACAATCATATGTTTTAGTCAGGAAGCCTTTTACAAGTAAGCATATGTTCATTTACTCACCAGATATGTTTTAGAAACTCTCCAGAGCTAATGGAAACCGTCCTGTGTTGCCGTTAGCATCCGGGCAGAGTAGGCTAGGCTGCTCCGGGGATTCCCTCGCTAGTTTGCTTCGAATTAAAGGAGAAGTGTCGATTTTATTTTACAGATGGGTAACAACGCACAAAATGGCATTAAGCGTGACAGAAATGTGTTGAACATGTACATTTGATGTTTTTATGCACTATGTATGCGTGAGCATATATAAAAACATTCTTGAAAAGAAGTGAATAGTAATGCAGTTAAGCTAGATACACAAACGACCATGAATGAACCGCAGAAGTTTAAAATTGTCACTCCATTCTAAAGTTATTAACTTAACAATATGTTTACAACTGTATTTCCTTAAAGAAAGTCAGTAAAATACCAACATTTAGGTAGTTTGACTCACCAGTTGCTGTTCTAAACCTCAGATGGAAAATGGCGTCTGGAAAATTCTTCAGTGACTGGGGCTGCATGAATTCCCGGATGTTGGAAATAACACCACCAAGTGTTGAAAAGATAACTCCTTGATTTCGCACTGAATAAAATCAATTTTAACTCTTATTATATTCATTTATCAAAATCTAACTCTTTAACGTCAACACTTTACTCTGAAATGCTTCAACACCGAGAATTTAACTCTGATGAATTTGCTGTGTACCCAACAATGTATGGAAACAATGCAACGATTGAGTGAATGTGTGAAAGTTTTAAAGTGACAATATATTTCGTTTTATCGCCTTAGTTGCTCCAAATCATTCAGTCAATAAATATATCAATACTAAGCAAATTGTAACCATTTTTTTTTTTTTTTTTTTTTTTTAGAAATGTGTAAAATACAGGTATACAAACTTAAGGTTATTGGTCTTGGTCGACTAATGTTATTGCAAAATATTGCAGCAACTTTTAAATATTGACACCAGGGAGGTATTTATAAAACGTTAACGCAAAAATATTAAATTGGTATGTACTAATTTCTGTTTTTTATTTTTATTTTATTTGATCAGGTCTGGTTTCAGAACAGACGTGCTAAATTCCGCAAACAGGAGCGCGCAGCCTCATGGAATGAGTCTTCCTCAAAAACACACAGTTCACCATCTCATGACAGCTCAGAAACAGCGAGCGCCACTGACCCAGACAGCACACAGCCCTCTCTTCCCCTCATTGGGGACCAGAAGCAGGACAGCAGAGACAGACCACCTCCAGAGGAGCTGCCTCTGTTGTTAGGCTTAACTTCTCTTGAAGCACAGAGACAGCGTGGTCATCAAATTCCCTGTGTTGATTCTGTGTGCCTGTGTTGAACACTGAAGACATGATGTGCCATTTAAAACACTGAATACATTAGTTAGTGTCAGTTTCTAACTTTTATTTTTGTTTTATCTTAACAAGTCTCTGAGGGATTTAATATAGTAATAAATATATATGGCAGTGCTGATGTGTTTGGTCTTGGTGGTGACATACTGTACACTGCTGCTTTGATTATTGGTTCAGAGCAAGTATAGAGACTTGCTAATGCTAGTATATTCACAGATGCTGTCTGAGTAAATGACACTGGAGTTTCATATATGTTATGTTTGCAGCATCATAGCAGATACGTGTAAGTGGAGACGAGGATCTCTGAAAACACACTGGAGATTGCGAATGAAAATGACACCGTGGTGTTTAAATGTTAGGAGCAAGCTCATTGGCCACCCAGGTGACAGCAATCTTCCGTGCCATGTTGTTGGAAGCAGATTTTAGGACCTATCAGCCTGCACACCCAATAGAGTTTCATGACAGATTTTTTTATTTATTTGGTAAAAATGAATTACTCTTTGGCCTATTTATTTATAAGCAAAACATATAATAATAATACAAAGTAGATTTGGAGACATTTTGAAAATAAATGTAAGATTTGTCAGGTATGGCATTTTCATTCTTTTGCATCTGGAGAGGATGTAATGTAATCTTATCGTCATGGGTAAGTATCTATTGCCACATTCGCTCCGGACAACATGTGGTCTGAGGGGTTCAGACACTTTAGAAGAACTCACTATCTTGCAAAGTCAATGAAAACCGAATGTTATGCTGGCAGTTAAAGAGATATAGTTCACCCCAAAATGAAAATTTTCTCACCATTTACTCTCTTAAGTGGTTCCAAACTTTTAAGAGGTTCCTTTTTCTGATATACACAAAAAGGTATCTTGAAAAATTATAAAAACCTTTAAATATTGACTTCCATAGTAGGAAAAACAAGTACTATGGAAGTCAACGATTACAGATTTCCAATATTTAAAAAAAGGTCTTCTTTTGTGTCCATCAGAAAAAAAGAAACGTCAACAGGTTTGTGACAAGTGAATGGTAGTAAAAGACGTTTGGGGTGAATTATCTCTTAACCCTTATTTACTGTTAGGGATGTTTTCATCCACTTTGGGGTGATTTTGAATCTTAATTTGACCATAAGTATTTCTGTGTTTCAGCTAGCAGAATGGTTATTGGTGACAAATCTTATTTTGACACTTATGTGGTTTGACCCTTTTAAGTGAAGTTTATTTATAAACTAATTTTGAGAGGATCACATGCTTATGATTGCTTGCAGCTGGCCCCGCATTATTCAATTTATGATTCACCAAATAGACGATTTCTAAGCCACTATAAATACCCTAGGTTCCATATGACAGCCATCTTCGTTTTGAAGAATCTCCCCTTCCACCCCTACTCCACCTCCTTTTCTAGATGGCTGGCACTATGGTCCAGTGGTTAGCACTGTTGCCTCACAGCAAGAACGTCACTGGTTCTAGTCCTTACCAGCCGAAATTTCTGTGTGGAGTTTACATGTTCTTCCCGTGCTCACGTTGGTTTCCCCCAGGTTCCCCGGTTTCCTCCCACCATCCAAAAACATGCAACTTAAGTAAATTGACTTATCCAAATTGGCACATAGACATGCTCGTAGTAAGTAGTTATCTATTAAGAGCAATCACTATCTGTTCATTAGCTACTACAGCAGGGGAGTTCTCAAGATCTACCTGATCTTGGGGAGGAAGCCCTGGGCTTGAGGATTTTATGAGCTCAGGGCTCTCTCCTGGAACAGCATGCCAAACAAGCTTTATAATCAATCATCAGCTAAGTGTGAACTCTTGAAAGAACTCAATGAGACACTCTGGGCAAATTTACAACCCTTTTGTTATGTTAGGGATGAAAACATCCACTGAATTAAACTGCTGTAAAAATGCATCAGATCAATATTTTTAAAAACAATTATTTTGCATAAATCTGTTAATCAACCTCAGTCCTGATCAAAACTACTAACTTGCTTAGAAAATTACAGGTTTTTAAATCTTTAATTGCCAAATACATAAATGATGTGATGTCACTGACATGGTAAAAAAAAACACACAAAATGACGTATTTTTTTATCTAAAAATGATTGTGGTCTGGATTTTTTATATACCTTTTTTTTTTTTACCCCTTTGACCTTTATTATAACCACATTTTTTTAATTACAAAACCATGACAACATATATTTATGTATTTTTGATTGTTGGTGTTTTTTTCCTGCTGGGAAGAGGTAAAATTTATATATTTTTTTACAGTTGATCATCAGTTGGCAGCATTAATCTTTTAGATAGGCCTGTGCAAAAAAAAAAGCTTCTGGATTTTATATGGAGTATAACAGCAAATTAAAATGTGTATGTATGTCTGTGAGAGTGATGTGTCTGAGAAAATCTAATTATGCATCTCACTTCTGAGAACTACATGGAGTAAATAAATACAAAAACTGTGTATTTATGCACCATTAGATGTGGTTATAATGGAAGTCAATGGGGCAAAAACAGCCACCAACAGTAAAAAAAAAAGAAAAAAAAGAAAAGAAAATCTAACAATGCATCAAAACCAATGTTGTTACTAATCATTCACATGTCCAAGACTGTGATTTTTTTCCATTAAATCAATGACAGCATTGTGAACTTGGCAATTAAAGATTTATACGGAAAAAAAGAAGAAACTAATATTGATCTGATGCATTTTTACAGCAGTTTAATTCCGAGGATGTTTTTTATCCCGAACACAACAAAAGGGTTGTAAATTTGAACTGCACAAGAGTTAAGGTTTTGTCAGTTATTTATGCCATTCACCACCAGTTGCCAGCATTAACACCAATAACTAGAGGAATCTAAAAGTGTTCTTCACTTCTGTATTATTTTTAAAATATCTCATTTAAGTTATGCTGTGACAAATTATAGGATTTTAAAAAAAACTTTTGATCTTGACTTGATTTAGTTTTACAACAAACACTGTGAGAGCACATTAGTGCCAGCAGTTTATTTTGATTTAAAGTTGTGTAAAAACCAAGCACTCAGGTGCAAATAGTGCCCTGTTGCATCATGAAAATAAAATTGTGACCCTGGACCACAAAACCAGTCAACCACCAATAGCAAAAAATACATTGTATCAAAATAATTGATTTTATTTCATGCCAAAAATCATTTAAATATAGAGAAAATATCATGTTTCATGAATATATTTGGTACATTTTATACTGTAAATATATCAAAACCAAGCTTTTGATTAGTTATGTGAATTGCTAAGAACTGCATTTGGAGTTTTCCTCAACATTGTTTATTGTTTTGAACTCTCAGATTCCAGATTTTCAATGTAATGTAATGTAATGTAATGTGTATTTATATAGCGCATTTATTGTGCATGGCCGTACACCCAAAGTGCTTCACAATCATAAGGGGGGGGGTCTCTCCACACCACCACCAGTGTGCAGCATCCACATGGATGATGCGACGGCAGCCACAGGACAACGGCGCCAGTGCGCTCACCACACACCAGCTATTGGTGGAGAGGAGAGACAGTGATTGAGCCAATTCGGTGGAAGGAGATGATTGGGAGGCCATGATCGTAAGGGCCAATAGAGGGACTTTGGCCAGGACACCGGGGTTACACCCCTGCTCTTTCACGAGAAGTGCCATGGGATTTTTAATGACCACAGAGAGTCAGGACCTTGTTTTAACGTCTCATCCGAAAGACGGCACCTACTGACGGTGTAGTGTCCCCTTCACTATATTGGGGCATTAGGACTCACACAGACCACAGGTTAAGCGCCCCCTGCTGGTCTCACTAACACCACTTCCAACAGCAACCTAGTGTTCCCTAGTGGTCTCCCATCCAGGTACTGACCAGGCTCAGCCCTGCTTAGCTTCAGTGAGTAACCGGTCTTGGGCTGCAGGGTGACATGGCTGTGGCAATGAGTGGTATGTCAGCCAAATATTGTTCATCTGTACAAAAAAAATACATCAATGCAAATCTTATTTATTCATATTATCAAATCACAATAAGAACGACTCTTATGGGGTCCAAGATCACAAATATCCATAGACAAAAACTCAACAAGTTTTAAACGTTTGCATTTTCAGGCCACCAAAATGCCATTGTGTTAATGATCGGCCATAACCCTGTAGTTTCTAGTCAAAAACATAAACATGGTTCAAACACAAGTGCATTTAAAATAGTTTATTATAGTTTATTTAAAAACATACACTTGCTATAAAAGCCATTGCATTTCAGCGTCTTGTCGGTTGTCTTATATCACTCATTTTTAAAAGGGTATAATAAATACAGAATATGAAGTTTTGTTTTGTCACACACATCTTGTCGCACACACCTTGGCTACTCTTTCCAGTAATTATTGCCATCTGTTTCAGCTCATATTCTTACAACATCAAAATAAAACAAATGACATACAAGCAACAATGAAAACCCGCCTGGATCTAAACGACAATTCCTTTTAATCTCAAATATTAACAGAAAGCAAAAGCAGACGTTAGAAATGCAGGAATTATATGCTGTTGATGCTGGATACAATCTGTTGTGGTTGTATCTACTTCGGTGACCTTAGCTTGATTTTGATAAATATAATTATGGATATTTAATAAATCGAACACCTCTAAATGCACATGAAATGATTGAAAAGCATACAGGAGGGTATGCTTTCCGTTTAAAATCTCTTGCTTGCACATTCACAGGGTGTTTAATAAAGTATATGGGTTAAAAGCAGAGTGCTCAGTGCATATGCATAATACTTTCACCAATGCACATTGGTTACGTGAAGCTTTGGATGCAAGAAACTAGACTTCTCTAGAAGCGCATTTCTAAGGCACAACATTGCAGAAGAGTGAAAGGCAACAGATAACACGAAAAAACATTTGCAACGGAATATTTCAAAGGCTAAAAGAAAACACTTTACATTACAGTGCTTAAGTTATCACACAAAAGAGTTTAGATGCTTGTTTTCACATCGATTGTAGTAATTCATTATAAAGGCATTGTAATGTAAAGCGTTACAGAGGACAGTTTCAGGGATCATGCGGTTTTCTTATCAAATGCGAGAGCAAAACGTAAATATTATTAACACAAAGTCTGACAAATAACCAAATGGAAATGTAAATTCTACTTAGCAACATGCTGTCTACACGGTTTGTTAAACAAAACTGCACAAATGAAGTCTCAAACCAGATAAAACAGGCAATGCAACATAGAGGAAGGAACAGAAAATTGAAATCAAATCCACTCCAGATAATTCATGAAGACGTGTTTTTGTTTTCCTTCAAACCATAAATAAAAGTGACGGACAATCTTATCGGTATTCATTTCATGTTGTCATTTAAGGCATCAGGACATGAACTAGGCCTAGAGACGCACATTCATGCGTTTGTCTGTTAGCAGAACAACATTTTTGAACAATGTATGTCGGAGACCTGCGAGCCCTATACAAAAAGACGGATTATTTATATTAACAAAATAATAAATGCAAAGTTTTCTCAGATGAAAACTGGATGTTGTGCTACCTCACGTTCCTTACAATAGAAATCTATTCAGTGCACTTTACATCACAGTGCCCATGTTACATATTTTACTAGTACTTATGTAAGTACCCAGCCTACTAATGGACAATGTGGTCAATTTGTAGCTGCACATGCTCTCATTTGTGAGGAGGCATTTACACTAGTGCTTTTTCGTTTTAAAACCACACTAGAGGTCATACTAGAGTTTGAGCAAGCATTTAAAAAAGTTTGTTGTTTTAGTTCATCTACAATGACACCAGATTTTCTAAACAAACTGCAAATTTAGCATTTTCAAAACACCTTTTTTGTTTTATGGAAGACGCACGAGTAGTGTGGATGCCGGGTTTAATCGAAACAAACCAATGTTAAAACAAAAACGCATTAGTGTAAATGGCACCTGAGTGTACTAAACTGTAAATTTCACACTTATTCGAAAAAAAGTCAAATGTAAAGAGATAAGTAAAAGAAGAAATAAGTTGAAGTAATAGATGAATGATGTGTGTGTGGTAATAGGGTGGGAAAATAATAAGCTTGTGCTTCATCCCGCTCCATTTCGACCATGTTAAAATGTGTTTTTGTTAAATAATTTGTATGATATTTCTGTTCGAAATAAATAAATCAAATAAAAATCAAATCAAAGCAAACATGTCAAGCAAAAAGCATCCACTAAAATACCTGTCATTCGTACATTTTGTCAGATTTCAATGCTATTTGCTTTCGAATTGCCATTAAAAGAGTTTTGCTCTAAGAAGAGTTTAACTAATGGCTTATTGGTTTGCTAATCAAACACAGCTGCTCGGTAGGCGACAGTGGTGTAGTGGTTAGTGCGTTGACACATGCGCTCTGGTGCTCACGGCGACTCGAGTGACATTCCAACCTTGCGATCCTATGCTGATCCTTCCCCTCTCTCTGCTCCCCATGCTTTCCTGTCAAATAATCTCTACTGTCCTTTCCATTAACGGTGATAACTGATCCAACTAAACAAGATTACTGGAGACTATTAAGCAGGTGTGATTTGTGAAGGAATTTTTAATGATTTTAACAACATCCTATGTATTACTAGACAAATCCTTGCATTGTTAGTAAATTCTGTGTTTAATTAATTACATGATCTTATGCTGATGTGTTTATCCTTACATAACCTTATGTGCTTAACTTCATCTAACCTAGCTTTATAACAGCTGTGACCGAGAAGTTAACTCCGCTGTACTTGTTATCAACAAAATGATACAATTCCACTTTCAGAGTGTGCTCATTTACAGGAATAATAACGGACGGAGGGGCGAAGGTTCACTCTCTTGCAGGCTCTGTTATGTGTATGCGTAACTTTTTCTGTGCAGATGTGCTGTTCTGCCTAACAACTGATGATTGAACTGATCTGAATGTAGAATCTTTCTTACTGAAACGCTCCTGGGCGGGGCTGAAGAGAGACGATAAATATGGGGGGACGAGGGTGTGAGTGTGTGTGCCGAGCTCACACAGACTGCCTGTGTTGCTGTTCTCTGACACCCGGAGCTCTGTAATGCTTTATTTATTTAATTAATTAAATTGATAAAACTTATTTAAAGCCTCTGTTTTAACCTGGGAGGACTAGGTAAAGTCCAACAGTTAGAGGTGGTTGGAGCTAAACTATGCAGAGCTGCAGCCCTCCAGGATGAGTTTGAGACCAATGAGTTACTTTTATAGAGTTAATGAACATCTTTATACACTCTATATAGAAATAAGTACAGAAAATTGTCAATTTTTGGGTGAACTATCCCTTTAAGACATATAGGCAATCAGGTATAGACTGACTAAACCCTGTACGGTTTTTACATAATCATTAAAAAGACTCCTATGAATAAGGGTCTATGTATTATTCATCCATTCATTCTTTTTCCTTCAGCTTAATCTCTGATTATCAGAGGTCGCCACAGTGAAATGAACCGCCAACTTTTCCAGAATATGTTTTAAGCAGAAGATGGCCTTCCAACTGCAACCCAGTACTAGGAAACATCTATACACACTCATTCACACACATACACTACGACCAATTTATTCAATTCAATTTATCTGTAGTGCATAATCTTTGGACTGTGGGGGAAACAGGAGCAACCGGAGGAAACCCATGCCAACATGGGGAGAATATGCAAACACCACACAAAAATGTCAACTGGTCCACCCGGGACTCAAACCAGCAACCTCCTTGCTGTGATGCGACAGTGCTAACCCCCATTTGTTTTCTTGAATTTTGTAACAAAGCTGGCAAAATCTGAAATCTGAGCCTTCACTTCTTATCAAAACTAATAAAGTTTAAAGAATATTGTGATTTATTGACAGCCTGCATAAATGGTCCATATTTGCATATTTAAAGAGAATGTAACAGCTCTTTCTAAATATTTTGTGTAATGGCTCAGGAATTTGCCTTTGTCACTCCTTCATTAGCTGAGGATGTGTTATTATCACTGCATTATAAGAAAAATGCCCTATTGCTATTGAAATGTATGTAACACGGTCACTGTGAGGTAAAGTGCTACCAGTACTGCTCCTTTTAAAGTGTAAAACAAACTGTGTGAACAGACTCACTCTTTATTAGTGATATTTCAGCGAGCACTGAACAGTCAAAGAAAGCCATCCTGTGTCCATGATTCCAGTTTTGACATTAATGTTTATGCTTGATTGTGCTGTAAGGAAATCTTTTGTATAAACATAAAATCCGTTCTTCTTGGGTCTGGTCCTGGCTTGGTTTAACCTGATTTCGGTTCTGTTTCCTCATCAGAAGTGCAGAGGCATCACAACGTTGTTGGCTGACCAGCAGCTGCAAAGGAGAACATTATAACTGTCCTGAAAATGTCCTGATCGTATAAAAATAAAAATCATAAAAATAAAAAACTAATAAAATTGAATGTATTTTTATATTTAGTATGTACATTTTTATTATAAATAACAATAATAAAAATGATGAATTATATATTCAATTAAATATTAAAATTACTAAAAATATTTACATAAAAAGGGCAAAAATTAACAGAGAATTTTAAAGATGATATATAAATAACGGTAAATGTGGTGTGTAAAGAAAAAATGGTGCAAATACCACACAATTAAATGCTACAATTGGTCATCATTTTCAATCAAACACATCGACTCACCCCTTGATTTTATGTAGCACTCGTGACAATTAAGAAGTCCATTTCGAATCCTGACGTCAGTTCCAGCACTTGTGTCTCCAAGTAATCCTTTACATACGCCACACTACAACACATCAGGTATTCATGTAAGACAGGTTACGCACATACAAACAAAGAATAAGACATAAACACTACCTTAAAACACTGGATGTGGAAGTAAAGCCCCAAGGTTTCAATGATCATTGCTGCTCCTTTACCCAGTGGATGAGCGCAACTGGAGCAAAGCTTCTTTCCACTGACTGACCTGCAGAGGGCGCCAAACACAACCATATATTAATCTACAAACTTCAACACTGACAAACTACAAAAAGAACATTTATTAGATCTGTATATACTAAACATAGTGTAAACAAAGGGGTGTTTTATTGCACAGGAAGGTTCAACAGTCACCAACATTTCTAATTTACTTATTTTTTAATGTTGAAACGTTACCTGAAACTTTACAACCTTTTTTGAAGATTAAATCAATAAATAGATGGATAGATGGATAGATAGATAGATAGATAGATAGATAGATAGATAGATAGATAGATAGATAGATAGATAGATAGATAGATAGATAGATAGATAGATAGATAGATAGATAGATAGATAGATAGATAGATAGATAGATAGATAGATAGATAGATCTAGAAAGAAAGATAGAATCTTTTCTGTTCACTAAGACTTCAGTTTCCAAAATTGTGTTAGGCATTAATAATAATAAGAAATTATTCATGAGCTGCAGATCAGCATATTAGAATGATTTCTGGAGGATCATGTGACACTGAAGACTGCAATAATTCAATTTAGAGTATTCAGATTCAAGTATACATAAAAATGTAAAACACATTTTAATAGAAAACACACATTAAAGTGTCTTGAAATATTACCGTTTACTGTGTTTTCAATCAAATAATTCTTACGTTTTTACCAAGCATGAAAGAACGTATTTCATGCCATAAAAAAATAATCTAACTGTTGGCTGATGATGAATATATAAGTGAAAACAAAATTAAAATACAATGTATTGTCGCAATTTAAATGAACGGGCTTGTGTGCACATATGCATTTAGCATCCATTATTAGTATGGTGACTGTACACCAAATTTAAACCACTATTTTTAGCATTCAGATGCATACAGGCCAGTTGAACAGCATGACACAGTGGCAGAAGCACACAAATGCATTTGCCAATGACTGAAACGCTGCACATACACACACATACACATACATTGCCCTACACTAATACTGGTACTCTGTGTAAACATGATAAGCCTGTGATAAAAATGACTATTGTTTAAAGGCACAGTATGCAATATTTGCAGGATGCGTTTTGACAACAAAGTCATAGTTTGATGTAGGGCTGCACAATATAAATATCGTTTCAGCATTGACATCGCAATGTGCAAATCGGCAAAAGTCACATCGCAGAATCTGCATTATCAGTTTAGGTTAAGTTTGGTTTTAGTTTATTTATCTATTAGCAAATTTAAATGCTGTTATTGTTGACCAGGAACCATTTTGTGAAGTTTAACATTTAAAGTTTTTCATTTGCTTGTTTGCTTTGTTTTAAAAGGGGTGGTCCAGAATGTAGTTTTAAGGCTTGGTTGAGTTTAAAAGATGCAAAGGAATGTGTGCTTGTGCTGGTGATTTCCTTCATGTTTCACTTGAAGGAACACACGTTATTTTTTCATAAATCTCACATTGATTATATACAGCTACTCGTCACGCCCGCGCATCGGCTCCACGTCACGCCCGTACAAGCACGCGCTTTTGTGCTGTGTAAACAGTCAGTCAACCTCATGCCTGCTCTCTAAAAGAATATCTGACAAGTGTTTTTAATGAGTGAAAATAGGGTGCGTCTCCTTTAAGAGAGATCGCTATTGTGTGTGTGTGTGTGTGTGTGTGTGTGTGTGTGTGTGTATGTGTGTGTGTGTGAACTGTCTGTAGACGCATGTAACACGAGAAATGGATGTGCGCAGGACCAATGTTTACTTTTCTTTTTCTCTGATGCTCGGATTAAGTTCTTTTCCGTAATATACAGTGACACTGTTGACAGAAGAATAAAGCACAAGATGTGGGATGCGACCTGTGTGAGCCTTGATTGATTTTTCTGCTGCTACACGAGTTAGGCGACCTCTCCTGTATTTTTTTTAACTCAACGCGTTACACGACATCTTTCACATATATTTAGAATATGCATGTGTAAGTAATATGAATCGTTCACATATCTTTTGCGACTTTATTATCTGAGATGTAAACGCAGGTAAAGCTGCCTAGAGACACGCACGCGCTGGTGAAGATGTGGGTGTTTCGAGCAGTTTGACTGATAAATATGAATTTGTAGCTAAATTGTTAGCGGTACCAAACAGCATTTCCCATTGTTTAGATCTTTGCTACACCATACTTTTAAGGCTAGACATTGTACATGTCATGATCAATTTTAACAAATAAAAACTCACAGGCTACAGCTTCTGTTTGTTGGAGCTGCTCCTTCTCTGAGGAGATTTTAAACCGAATCCAGCAATGAACTGGAAGATATTCTGGAAGCTGTGTTTTGTCAAATCATGCTTGCTATATATTTTATAATTCTCTGGAACATAATTAACATTGAACTGTAAGCACTTCTGTCTTTGTGTCGTGTCATTTGGAAAATAAATAATACTGAAAGGCAAAGTGATTTTATGAATAATTTCCATATTAAAACACGAATCATCATTTAAAAGCAGGTTTAAAGAAACTTATTAACATTAATTATTAAGTTCTATAATATAAAACTGGTAAAACGAACCTAAAGGTATTGTAAACTAAACATTTAAGACATTTTTAATAAACATTTGGTAAGCATTTTCTGATAAATACATTTTCGTTATTGATATCCGCATATTTTGGCGTTTGCTTTCAACAAGGCATGTGAGCTGGCAAAAGTCCTGCATATGCAAAGTGTTCATGCAGACATTTTAGTATGGTAAAAGTAATCAAACATTGTACATATCCCGTTACAATACTTTTGAATAATTATATTTTTATTTTAAAATTAAGTAAATTAAATGAACTTTTACGTGATTATAAAGATTTTGGTGAAAACTGAAGAAAAAAGTTTTATATTGTACATAGGAGAATGTATTTCTGTAACATTTTTGTAAAGAGTGTTGTGAAATGTTTAGCAAAAAAAAATCTTTTGATTTATGTTCAAGTATTTTTATTCTTTATTGTTAATGAAATGGTGCATTTACACACACACACACACACACACACACATACACACACACACACAAAAAAACATTGTTGAAAATTTATTTTGTATTTACTGGTTTTTATTTTTATTTTTACGCATTTTGGATAAAGGCCTTTAAATAGTTATTAAGAAACACATTTGAAACTGCTAAGAAACAAAGCGTCTTGTCACTGAAGTGGTGCCTTCATGGATCAGATTTGTGCCTTTAATGAAGGTACAATATTGTATCTGCAGGTTTTAAAAATCACAGGTACATTTTGGTTTCCCATGGTACAAATCATGTCCTTAAAGGCACAAACTGCAATGGTACAAATCTTTTTGCCTTAAGGTGCAATTCTGTTCCATAAAAAGTTGCTGCCACAGTACCTTACTTGGTACAACATTGTACCATTTTCTCTGAGAGTTTACATATATATATTTATATCTAAATATAAATAAACATTTTCTCAAATATATGAGTCCTTGGAAAAGGGTCTATGTTCGTTCTCAATGAGAGTAGAGTTTTTTGTTAATATTATTATGGCTTTTATTATTATTGTCATGTTTAAAAACAATAGTCATTTTTCCACAGCTTGCTTTGCTCATATTCACACAGAGTGCCAGTATTAGTGGAAGGCTCAGTATCTCCACGTGACAAAGTGTGTGCTGGAGAAAAGGCTCGTACTGTACCTGCTGGGTGATGGAGGTGGCGTGTCTTGTGATGGTGTGGGTGATTTTGATGGGTGTGTTCCTAAAACATTCTCACATGACCCAGTCCTGCCAGCAGCCACATACACATGCACGCACACACACACACACACACACACACACACACACACACAAGCATAGAGAACTGTAAAAGCAAGTCATATGCAGAAATGCTCCATGTGCCAGAAAATGAAAAACTCAAACTGATCTGATCTACTCATTGGAAAGCCAAGCAGCACTTTTGGCGAACATGTGTGTGTGCAAGCCAGCATGCATTCAGATGCACACACATATGCGCACGCACACACCTCCTCATCCCTGTGGTCTGGCTTGGGGCTGGACTCTGTTTACGATCCAGCGAGGCGGTTTTCTTCAGATCCTCCTGCCTGCCTTTAGACTTGCAGCTCCACGAGCCATCTGTAAAACACACAGGGAGACAGAGAAATCATCTTTAATTTGCTGAGAACTTTGGCAATAATTGACATTAAGGTTTAATGTTTTTAAAAGACGTCTGCTCTGCTTAACTAGGAAGATATAAACAGAAAAATACAATATAAACAGTACTACTTTGATTTCAAATTCAAACGACTGTTTACAATGCGAATATCTTTTAAAATGTTACTTATTTATTTAATTCAAAGTTTTACTGTTGTGTTTTATATATATTATTAGGCCTGTAGCCAGCCTGGTGAAACGGGTTGTTCTTTTTCTCAAAAAGGGGACATATTCGCCTATTTTTAGCTGAATTAGCTTGTTGTTTGGTCATCATAACCACATTTTTTGGTGTACAAAATACATTTCCTAAAGAAGGGAAAATATATTTCATTGTAAAAAATATTAACAGAGCAAAATTGTTTAAACTGAAATAGTATTTCACAATTTTTGATTCAATAAATTGCATAATTGGTGAGCCAAAGCAGCTTCTTTCAAAAACATAAAATATATTACCAATACATAATAAATATCCTTATAAAACATAGATTCATATATAATTAATAATAACAATAATAATAATAAATTCAAAATATTTTAAATAAAATAATAATTCCAAAAGGTGTCATCCTGTATGTTGGAGAGAATAACATTAATATTTTAATTACACCTATAATAATAACAATAACAATACTAATAATAATAATAAATAAACAAATAAACAAACAAACAAACAAACAAATAAATACACAAACAAACAAACAAACAAACAAACAAACAAATAAATAAATAAATAAATAAATAAATAAATAAATAAATAAATAAATAAATAAATAAATTAAAATTCACACTGAACATAATGTTTGAAAACATTATTTAAAAGAAATATTTTCTTTTGGCACTATTTGCATAAAACAACACTATTTACAGTCTATGACAATAGTATCCAAGACTTTAAAAATGTATAAAACTAACAAACATAGAATTTTTAAACACCTAAACACATTAACTAATAATATAACTTTTTAAACATGTACTGTATCCGTTTACTATTGAAACCCTTTGAGATTTATATGTGCATGTCTTACCCTGTATGAACTGCAGTTGTGGTGTAGCTGTGATCTGGCTCTCCTGAGCTTCAGCTCTTTGTCCGTTCTGCTGAGCTGCTGCAATTACTGGATCAGGACTACAGAGATTATAACAACAATCAAGATATGATGTCAACACTCAAATCTGTATGTTTCTGATACACCTTTTCAAATGAACGTGTGCCAAAGTACAGCGAAGTGAGCTCATTATGCCACTGAATTAAAGGGGCCATGACATGAGAAATCAAATCTGCATTGAGATTTTCACAAATAAGAGTCTTTGTTTCATTAAAACATCCTGCAAGTTTCAACTCTTTAATTATCCTCCTCATTCATAAAAACAATGCATTTATTTAATAAAGCTGTAAAAATGATTCGTTTATCAACTAGCTGGCATGTGACATCACAGTGGTAAATATATATTTGCAAATAAACCACCCTCAGAGCAAAAAAATATATAAATAATGAAGCACATCTCGGAAGAGGATCTCGGTATCAGGAAAGAATACCATATGGTAAATTTATATTGTTAGTATATTTAATCACTTAAATTGATCTATTTAATTAATCATTGATTGAATTAATCATTTAATTACTTAAACTTTTTAAAATAAGAGCACCACCTACATTCATTCATTTTTTTTCTATTTATTTATTTAATTATTTTTATATTATTGTGGTCGCATGACTCGATAGAATTATAGGTCTTCTGAGAAAAGTTTGCACTGGCGAATGAAGCGAACGAGAGGTGCCAGGAACTACAATTCCCATCAGCCCAGGCGTGGCCATTATCCTTTGCATTATGTTGCCATTGATCCAGTAATGCGGAAATGGAAGGTGCTGCTAGTAGCGGGGAAGAAAAAGAGCTGGAAATGATGGAACCTAAAGTGGGTTTCAAATTGGATGTGTGGAAGCATTTCAGTTTCTCTTTAAAAAAATATGAGAAAGGAGAAAAATTGACAGACATAGAAAAACATGGTATGCAGGCACTGTCAGACTGTGGTGAAATACAAGTCAGGGAATACGACTAACAGTCAAGGGGACAGCAGAACACAGCACACTGCTCAGATTGATGCAGACATTGACTCGTACCGTAAAGAGACCTCTATCTCACTCATCTATCTTACAGATAGATGGCTAATTTGTATGTCATTGATATGTTCAGTGCTAAGGTAAATAAACACTTCTGCCATTTTTTTTCGAGTCTCTTCATTAGTTTTGTTTTTGCTAAATGATTCAATAAATACCGTACCGTGCCATTCATTCCGAGGTATTACCGTAACGTGAAATTCTGAAACCGTTACATCCCTACTTGTTAATCAGCTATCCATATTCTCATTCTTTGACACCTTGAAGAGTTTTCGTGGGTATGTTAGCATTTTAACACAGCAATCACATTATCATGCAGCTCAGAAGAAACAAAATCCATTCAGAGTGTTTCGCAAATCGCCTGGTTAAAACTTGGAAGAGTGTTTGTAGTGCACCTGTGTGTCAATCCGTTACTCTGGCCCGTCTGTGCCTGTTTCTCCAGCATTTCCTGTTTCCTTTCCCAGTCGGCCAATGAGAGGACAATGGTTTCATGTGGAGCTGAGGGCTGTGTGAGGGACGGAGCCTCTGTCCCGCAGCTGGATGATAACGCTGAGGTGCGAGGGGTCAGCGGGGTCACTGTCTCCTCCAGAATTCGTCTCTCCTACAGATGGAGAATGAATTAGTGCTTATCAAGGAGTAAATAGTGTTCATGTGAGAGCTTTAGAAACGCACCTCTTCATGGTGTCTCCTTTCTTCCTCTTCTACTTCTCTCTGGGCTTTCTCCCATTCCTCCTTCAGTTTCTCCTGCTCGCGCTGATATTTCTCCTGCAAAGGAAGACAGACATGGTTTAAAGGGACATTTTTTTAAATTCCCTCATCATTTATTTAACCATGCATAGTATCAGGTTGCTTAATTTTTGTTCTTCTATGTAACAAATTAAAATTGTGTTCTACAAATGTTATACAAATTTATTGCTCTTTTTTTCTATGCAAAAAGGAAATTAAATAAAAAGGGATCAAACTAATTTTGTGATTTTTTTATTTTAAATGGAGGAAACATGGTCAAATTATTGATACTTGTATTGTTTTTATCTTATATGTTTAAATACATTTCTGGCAATGGTTATTTTTGTACTTTGCCTTAATTAATACTGTTTTTACTTGATTTACAAGGTTTTTTTAATTCTTCACTTTTGCCAATTGGTGAAGTTTTTTCCTTGCCGTTGTCGCTACTGGCTTGCATGGTTTGGGATCTGCAGAGCTGCGCATCGATAGATTGCTCTTCAGTGTTTGGACTAGTGATTATTACTATAGACCCGATCGGATAGACCCGACTCTACACCATAACTTTTCAATCCAGATGGATGGGGCAACCATTACTGCATCCAAAATGGTGAAAAGCCTTGGAGTAACGATTGATGACCAACTAAACTTCTCTGACCACATTTCTAGAACTGCTCGATCGTGCAGATTCGCACTCTATAACATCACAAAGATCCGACTCTTCTTATCTGAACATGCAGCTCAACTCCTTGTTCAAGCTCTTGTTCTCTCCAAACTGGATTACTGCAACTCTCTACTTGGCTTCCAGCTAACTCTATCAAGCCTCTTCAACTGCTCCAGAACGCAGCAGCACGAGTGGTCTTCAATGAACCTAAACGTGCACATGTCAGTCCGCTGCTAGTCCGTTTGCACTGGCTGCCAGTTGCTGCTCGCATCAAATTCAAAGCTCTGATGTTTGCCTACAAAGTGACTTCTGGCCTTGCTTCTTCTTATCTGCTCTCACTTCTGCAGATCTATGTGCCCTCCAGAAACTTGCGTTCTGTAAATGGACGTCGCCTTGTGGTTCCATCCCAAAGAGGGAAGAAATCACTTTCGCGAACACTCACGCTCAATCTGCCCAGTTGGTGGAATGAACTCCCTAACTGCATCAGAACAGCAGAGTCACTCACTATTTTCAAGAAACGACTAAAAACTCAACTATTTAGTCTCCACTTCACTTCCTAATCTGCAATTGCCTCTCTGAATATCAAACTAACTGTACCTAAAAAAAAAAAAAAAAATACTAATACTACTAATACTTTCCTTCTTAGACTTTACAGACCTGAAACTTGCCTATAGCACTTATTCATTGTTGCTCTTAGTTGTGTAAATTGCTTTCTTGTCCTCATTTGTAAGTCGCTTTGGATAAAAGCGTCTGCTAAATGACTAAATGTAAATGTAAATGTATTAAACACACTAAGCTGAGCTAAACTGAACTTAAACTCTGAAAACTGAACTACACTGTTACAATTAACTATGATCTTTTATGTGGCTTAATTGTAAAGCAAGAAATATGTTTTATTCTCATCAATACTGCATTTGTTTAATCAAATATCTTGTGAAAATTTGAAACATTGTGAAATACAAATGCATTTTAAAATACTTGTTTTCTATTTAAAATACAGGACCATGTAGCACAAAACTATATGTCTTGTCATTTTGCATGTGTTTATTTGTGGCAATTGTGTTTAAAAGTGTCAAAAATACATTGTATGGGTCAAAATGATCAAATATTCTTTAATTTCAAAATTGTTAGAATATTAAGTAAAAATCATGTTCCATAAAGACATTCTGTAAATTTATTTCTGTAAATAAATAAAAACTACATTTTTAATTAATAATATGCATTGCCAATAACTTATATTGATCAGTATTTACATTTTTTTGAAACCACAGATTCCAGATTTGCCAAAAATATCCTATCCTAACAAACCATGCATCAATGGAAAGCTGACACTTATGTGGTCCCTTAACAAGTGGGAGGCATATTTGCAAACTGTTGTAATTCCTACACTGTTCACCTGATTTGGATGTTAATACCCTCAAATTAAAGCTGACAGTCTGCAGTTAAAGCATCTTTTTCGCTACATTTCAAATCCAATTTGTTGGCGTATAGAGCCAAAAATGTTAGAATTGCATCGATGTCCAAATATTTATGGACCTAACTGTATATAAAAATGTTCTGTCTTCAGGTCAACTGTAAAGTTTTTGCAATTAAAAATACATATTGTACATTTTTATTTTATCTCATGTTATTTTAGTGCATGAACTACACTTGATGAAAATAAGAAGTATTTCTTTGTTAATGCTAAGTTTTGAATTCTAAAACTTAAATGTAATTTAATTCATTTGATTTATAATTATTTACATAAAAAAAACATTTGGTTTGTAATTTATTCTGGACATGAAAAAAAAAAGATTTCTAAACCAGATACTCCAGTGTTACATGATCTTTCAGAAACATTTCCCAAATGCTGATTGGTTGCTATTAACAAATCAGTTGAAAACAGCTGCTTAACATTTTTGTCAAAACTGTGAAACTTTTTTTCCGGAATCTTTCAAAAGAACAGCCTATGAGACAGTTTTTTGCGCAATAATGTAAAAGTTCAATGAGATGCATCCTGACTGATTAACCATTACATTTTTAAAAACACAAGTGCTTTTGTGTTCATTTGAACCCATTTTTACGGTCACTGCATAAACAGAATGACTTCTTTAAAAGTTCTCATTTCATATTACACAGAAGAGCAGACATTATACTGCTTTGTTTTCAGTTATACAAAAATCAGCCAAGGGTCTGACAGATTTCAGAGAAGGTGAAGGAACAGGACAGGAACAGGGGGGGAAATGTCACACTAACCAGAAAACCCACACCTTCAGTCAGTCAATCCCAGACAGACTGTATTACCTGCAGGAGACGCTCCTGCTCCTGCTGCCACCTCTCCTGCCGCCTGCGCTCCTCATTGGGATCCCACGTCCAGTGGTCAACCCTTTTTGCAAGGTTCAACATTGGGGTTTCAATCTGATTCACATACATACACACACACACACACACACACACAGAGAAGCAGAAAGGAAAATGGGAAAGGAAGGTAAGACGACAGGATGCATCTACACTAGGTACGACAAAAAAAAAAAGTGTAGATTAATTATAAATGTTGAAACTTGCCTTTTCTGTTTAGTTTGCAAACACAGGACATTGAGGTTTCATTTGCATTAATTGACTTTTAGCAGCTTAACTTTCTTTTTTTTAAATAACGGATTCATTTTTTTTTATTAGATAACACAAAAATTGACTGTTTACATAACAGGAGCTAACTGAAACTGCAAGAAAAAGGCTTTCAAATACACATATATATTTTTTTTTTGGCATTTTAAATATGTCAGTGTGCCACCATGTAAGTGTTATGATTTAAGATACTGTTAATTTAAATAAAGCTGAAATGAAATATTAATATCAAACTTTATTTTTGTAGTTTTTATTGACAATTAGTAAATATTTTTCAATTTTGTCATTTTATTTTTAAATGTTGCTAAAAAATATAATGTAGCTACTTTATTTTAGCTTTATTTTGAGTATCTCAAATTAGACAGAATTTAAAAAACAAAACAAATATAAATATATACAGGGTTCAATGCTAAGGATTTTTTCATTGATTCAGATTTTTACTTGCCCTGCCAAAATTTTCACTGGTCCTACCCAAGAAAAGAAGAAGTTAATAGCTATTTCATATCTCCAATATTTCATATTTCCAATCTAGAAATTAAATATTTAAAAAATGTAAATAAATGTATAAAGAACAAAATTCTAAGTGTTTTGCAAACAAAAAGAGCAGTATGGAAAATGTGGAGGTGTTTTATTGCAGTTCTAAATTATTTAACAAAAGGTGACTGACTTGTCAAACTGAGGGCAAACTGCAAAACATCACTTAATTTTTTTCGTCATGTTGTACCAACGTAAATGTCTGCTTCTAAGAGACATTTTTTTTTAGCCTTATAATTTGATGTTGTCAGCATGTATTCGTCTCTTTAATGTACTAGTTGTTACCAGCTTAGGGGAAAAATTACGTGCTTAAAACATCCAATCAGATAAGAGGAACCGAAAAGCAATATAGTGTTTACAACATCAAAGAAGGTAGTATTTAAAGGCTTAAAAGTACAAACTGTTTCTCGATTCTAAGACTAATAATGATCCTGACTACTGTCCCGAGTGTCTTTCACGTTGGCCCCGGGTCATCGGGCAGTCCTTATTGTTGAGCCCTGATATATATATATTGTTTTTACATTTTAACATTAATTGTAATGTTTGGGTAATGTTGGGTAATCTCATTTAATAGCCAGCTTAAATTGTTTAAATATATTTATTTACTACATTTTTAATTGTAAAGATTTTTTTCTTTAGTTGTTTATATATTTATAGAAAACTATGAAATTAAATTAAATAAAATGATCAATAGATTTGGTTAATTGTAATAAACCTTACTTAAAAAACAAACAAAAAAATTAAACCTAATTTTATTTATTTACATTATATATGAAAATGTTTTTACTTTAATGCTTAAGATTTATGTGAAAAATAAGAAACAAAAAGTAATACTTATCAGAATTAATGTTTACAAATAAAAACTATTTTTAAGTATCAATAAATTGTATAACACTACATACTATAATACTATAAAGGCAGCAACGACAAAACTCAAAACTGCCACATGCAGCTGAACAACTTGTATTGTAGCTTTACATGCTCTCAAAATGCAAAGATGCTGGGGCAAAAATAATGCGACAGCAAATGACGTCATCATTTAGCTCTTCCACCTGACCACCCTGAGTAACAGCCAAAATGACCAGAATGAACATCTATACTTACAATGAATAACTAACAAGGGGGTGAACGACTGAAAAGAGATGCAGAAAGAGGAAATAAAGAGGGATTCTGGAAGAAAGGGTTTGAGTTTGGCAAGTACTTACACATTCAATGGAGTAGTCGATCCCCTCTGGAGGAAAAAAAGGAGAAGGAAGCAGTGGCTTTAGAAACTCATCATATACTCATTAATCTTTCCTACCCTAATGAAAGCGACAGCACAGCAGGAACTCAAAGTAGCACAAAGATACACAGAGCATACAATCCTGTTTATGTCTGATATTAAAGAGATGATTCACCTAAAAAAGAAACTTACCTCATCGTTTACTCACACTCAAGTGGTTATAAACTTTGGTGAATATCTTTCTTCTGTTGTTCACAAAACAAGTTATCTGAAGAATGTTGGAAACCAGCAGCCATTGACATCCATAGTAGGAATAAAAAAGCACTATGAGAATCAATGGCTGCTTTTCCCCAACGTTCTTCAGTATATATTGTTCAACAGAAACAAAAGTGGAGAATGAGTAAATGATGACATTAAAAATAATAATAATAAATCGGTGAACTATCCCTTTAAGATACGTTTTGGTTGATCATATCACAAGCTGGCTAGGAAGACTCAATCCTGTTTACATCTGGGCTGTGCTCAGTCCTGACAAAACATTTTTTTAAATGAAATTGGTGTTTAGAAAGAGCCTTTCTTTGTGTTCTTTTTGAAGACGTTTTAGAGCCTGATAAAATTGGTATAAAAACTCCAAAATATGCTGCATGTTACAGTCACTTTCCTTGCCATTCAGAATAAAAGAGAGCACCCCAATCAAGCGAATAGAATTTGAAACTAATTATCGTGATCAAACAGTTTCCTTGCTTTCAGAATGAAAACATCAACGATTCAGGTGATGGATAATTAACTTACCTCCGAGACCATGTTATGATCTACATGGCATTATTATTTTATTGTGTGTATTAGGCTAATCATTATTACTGGTCACTATTGATGCAATGATATTTTTATATTTACAGTATTATATAATCAAATGAGTATAGAAATGTTTATGAAAGTGTCATAAACATACACTGAATACAATAGGAAAATATATAAATATCTATATATATTTTTTTTACATTATTAAGTATCTAGCAAACCTAATCCTAATCCAAAAAGGATATGAACAACAAGACTTTGCAGTCCCTACATGATCTTTAGACTGACTAAAGTCAAATAAAGATTCAAGATCTACAATTATGAGCTTTTATTAATTCAGTTATTTTGCTTCTAATGTAAATGTGCCAACAGTATACTTGTTCGTGTACCCATTGTGCGTATGTGTTCTTAATGCCGCATGGTTTATATAAACGTTGCTGATTGGGCTGAAATTTGAATATGTCATTCATTCCACAAACCCTAGAAAAACACCACGTGCCATTTTGGGCTTGAACATGTCCCTAGTGTCTTAATCCTTCTATTTTGCACAATTTCAACCACTTTCCTGATTCCTTTGAGAGGCGGGTGGATGTATGGTCAATTTCTGAATATAATATGATGAAATAATTTTGTGCAGTTTACATATGAATGCAAAAGGAGACCAGCAGGAAATAAAACAACGAGCAGCAGCTACAGTATAAATTCTGCTCTGATAGTTGTAAAATTGCACAGAACACTGTGGGTTTGTGTTGGAATCTGGACTAGTAAATGAACGCTGTGTTTTTACATGATTTTGCCTTTAATCCAAACTTGTGATTTAAAATAGCAAAGTGTAAATTCTGACTAGCGTGCTTCCAAAACATAAGCCTTTAACTCTACAAAAAAAGCAAACTGATCAAATGTTTTATCGACGCATCTCAAGAAGTGGTCAAAAGTGGACCATCTCAAAACTTTTTAGACCACATTTACACCTGCATTTGTTGTTGTTCACTTGTGATGAGATCAAGAAATATGTATACCAGGTGAAAATATGCCACTAAAGACACTTAAATCACAGAAAAGAAAGAAGTAATGATGACTCTGTTAATACATGGAATAGACATCCATTTTGCACATGAATAAAGATTATATAAACTTACCATTTACATGCGTGTATCTACTTACAGTTTTGTCTACAATTTTGTGGCAACATTTATAGACTTCACTTTACAAAATGCAATGCTTTAAAAGCACACTCCACTTTTTTGGAAATTACACAGGTACTATTTTCGAGTGCTGTGTAATATCATTGTGCAGCAAAATTCCTTGATTATTACACCAGATTAAGAGTTTAGTTCCTAGCCATATTGGCCTAGAAAATAGCAACTTTTAAATTTTATGTTGTTCGCTTAGTACATGAAGTATCCATGAAAGTAACTCCAGAAGAGTCAAGCTTTAAATAGGGAAATTATCAAAAGTTTTATTTATTTATTTATTTTTTTTTATTTTTTTTGAGCGAGATGCTAATGGTCTAATCCAAATCAATAATTATGCTAAGATCAGCTAAAACTAATCCTTCCACACCTGGAGATTGGCTAAATGAATTAAAAATGTTTGAACTCAACTGTTTAACTCTAGTGGACTTTTAGAATTAGTATATTTCCAAAAAAAAAAAAGGAGTGTCCCTTTAATGTGTATTTGAACACCTCTCAATGTGTTTTAAGAGATTACACATTCTGGACAAATTTTCTGTATTCACAGAAGCTTCCCCCTAGTGAACGTGTCAATAGAGATGGAAATTATGATCAGGGCCAAAGACAAGAAGGATGAATTCTTAGAGTCAGACATAAAAACAACAGAAAAAAGCTCAATAACACAGAGCATCTTAAATTCTAAATCTTAATCTTAACTATTAGATCTCATCTATAATCATGGAGTACTGCCATATGTCCATGCTACAGGTGCCTGATGAGGACAAAATGACACATAAATGTATGTTTAAAAGAAAAATAATATTTTGAAGAGAGACGGGTAAAATGTGAAAGTCAGTAAATATACACTACATACTGTAGGGCTACATTGGACTATATTCACTACATACTATAGGGCAAAACTGGACTTTTTCCGGGACTGAAGATTCTCTTAGTTGACTACTCGTTGTTTGTGCACAATGTTTGCTTTAATTGTTTGAAATACATAATATACAATATACTACTTAATTAAAATACATTTTTACATGGAAAGCAAAATTACTTCAAAATGAATCCAGGTCTAAACATGTGTCATATAGTACATATTGGTGAATTGTTAGTGTATACCCACGCAAATTATTTAGCTCAAGACCAATTCTCACTATTAACTTCTTATCTATTAAGAATAAGATTATAAATGATGTTACAAAATACAATAAAACATGTGTTTTAGGACCAAGATAAATTGAAGTCAAGAAAATGGATACTTTTGCTCTATTTGTTTCTTTTTAAAACATTAGTATTAAATAAAGAAAATCATTTAATTGAATAACTAATCCTGCTTACAATTAACCTCAAACATACTTTTTGTCACCTAAAAATATAAATTTTTCTCCCTCACATGATTCCATTTAGAAGAAAGAAACTCATACAGATTTTGCAACAAGTGGAGGGTAAGTAAATGTCGACAGAATTTACAATATTGGGTGAACAATCCCATTAAGTTACAGTGCACAGCGTACCCCATTCTCTCTCTCAAAAACTCCCCCAAAAAACAAAACAGTTAAAAAAAAAGTCTGTAGTGTGTCATAGTGCCCTAAGCAGACAATTCTTTAATATACAATGCACCTGGAGTGTCATATGAGCTCCACAAGTTAAAATCAAGTGCAAAAACAGATTAAATTAATTTTATGATTCACACTTGAAGAAACATATAAAAATATGTGGTGTTTCACACCAGAAGAATTGTTCCAAAACCATGTCTCATATGTGATTTTAACAGGTGAAGCTTTTGAGATGTTCATAATGCACATGTGTTTTTTATGTAAGGTAAATGTGGTTGACAAACGCGAGATGATCAGAGATGGATTATTAGATCATCTGCCGTGATCTGTGATCATCAGTTTATCTATCGGTTTTACCTGCTGGAGCGAAGAACTCCCAGCGTAACTTAGAGCTACTAGAGGAATGTGACTCTAACAGACGCACGTCGAATAAATACAGACAGAGAAGAGGGACAGTCAACGAACAAGATAAACAAGTAAGAGAGAAATGCAGAAAAGGATAAACCAGAAAGAAAGGTAAACGAAAGGAGGATTCAGAGGAGGTAAACAAATCGTGAAATTTGAAAGGATTCGTTTGGTCATCACATTATGAGAGCTGAAGCAAGTGGAGTTGTTTTACCTGTCGACGAGATCGAGTATGAAGACTGATCAGCTTTACAGGACTCTGCAGTTGAGCTCAGATCACATGTATTTTGGACTGTATCAGGCTGATGGAAAAAAAAAATGTAAATCATTATATACTATATATCTTTTTTTTTCACAAAGTCATTTTGTAAATAACAGGATTCTACCCAAATAAACAGAAGATTGTTTATTATAAGTTATATATAAGCATAAGTTATATATATATATAGAGAGTTGAAGTCTTATTAGCACCCCTAAATTATTAGCCCGCCCTGTTTTTTTTTTTTTTTTTATTTTATCTCTTCCATGATGACAGCAAATAATATTTGACTAGATATTTTTCAAGACACTTCTTTACAGCTTAAAGTGACATTTAAAGGCTTAACTAGATTAATTAGGTTAACTAGGCAGGTTAGGATAATTAGGCAAGTTATTGCAAAATGATAGTTTGTTCTGTAGACTATCGAAAAAAATAGCTTAAAGAAGCTAATTATTTTTTACCTTAAAATGGCTTTTGAAAAATAAAAAACTGCTTTTATTGTAGCCAAAATAAAACAAACAAGACTTTCTCCAGAAGAAAAAATATTATCAGACATACTGTAAAAATTTCCTTGCTCTGTTAAACATCATTTGGGAAATATTTTAAAATAAAAAAAATTCAAAGGGTGTTTAATAATTCTGAAATTGGTTAATTAAGCACTTTTTTAAACCTCTAAAAATATCTTAATTTGTTTGTTTTCTGAGGTAAATTGCAACTGCATTAGTGAAAAAATGCAGAATTAGGACTTTTTTTTTTAGTAAAATAGTAATCGTGATTTCCCCATGATATTGAAAAAAACATTTACTAGCATTTTAAAAAAAAGTTGATTCAATACAAGATAAAATATAAAAACTTTAATAGTAGCTTGAATGAAAATGTTCTTGTTTACATACACTTGCTACTACTCATTCAAAAAAAAAAAAAAAGCTTGTTTATTCAAACTTCGTGAAAATAAGCTGAAACAACACAATTCTTGAGTTTTTTTATTTTATCTTTAATCAACTTAAATTAAAAAAAAAACTAATAAGTTAACTTAATTCCTTATTAATTGTGTGGAACCAAGCATATTTACAGTGCTGGATTAATCAGCATTTGTTATTGAATCTATCGAACAAACTATTCATTGCCTAATACTTTTTTTAACCAGTCTGTTTTCATCACATACTGATAGAAGAAAATACACAGTAGAGTACATATAAATGTCAAAATACCTTCTTTTTGATCACCACTGTAGACCAATCAGAATCAAGTATCAAAGCATAAAGATGAAGCTGAAGCACTAAACTGAAGTCCACTAAACAAAAGTCCAAAATTATATCTTTTATTTTTTTCATCTACAAAAGTGCAAGGTGCAAAAGCCCAGAAAGCAGACATTTCAGCCAATACTTTCTTTAGTGCTTCACTAAAGTTTCTAAAATGAATCACATTGTTTCAGGATTCAGCATATTCTTACTTTCAGGAATCAGCCTGTTCTTGTTTGTTCTTTTAAAAAGTGAAAAGAGAAATGAAGGCCCACCTGCTCTGTGCTGGACGTGTCCTCTAGTGGGACGGGGTGCGTCTGAGTGAGTTCTGTCACTATGGTTGTTGTGACAACAAAGTTGCGCTTCATCACTGTGTCAGGCACTGGCTGCTTTCCTGAGTATGTAGAAAAACATCTGTTAACATCTTAAGGATTCAGTCGATAATACGGGTCACATCACACATAATTGCATTTTTATTTTGTAGATTTATTTATACTTGATCAGAACATTGCAATGTCAACGGATTAAAAGAGAAGAAATTTCTGTCCTCATTTCCTTTGTTCCAAACCATTATGAGTTTCTGAAAAAAACACAAAAAGATTTTTTTGAAGAAAGCTGTAACCGCTGACTTCCATAGTATTTGTTTTTTTCCTACCATAGAAGTCAATGAATACAGGTTTTCAACTTTCTTCAAAATATCTCCTTTAGAGCTCAACAAAAGAAAGAAACTCATAAAGATTTGAAACCACTTGACAATGAGTAAATAGTAAGGGAAATCAATTTTTGATATCCTTAAGGCCCTGATGTAATGACAGTGAAGTTATTTTTTTTGGGATAAAAAGAAGTCTGAAATACCCAGGAGGTGATATACTGTCAGCGAACATTCGATTCAACTCAATTCATGTTTATTTTTTATAGCGCTTTAACAACGTAGATTGTGTCAAAGGAGCATCCTGATCCCAACCAATATTGCTGTGTGTTTTCCTCTCAATAACAAAATACAATCAAAAGAGCTTCATTTTCAAGGCCTGTTTTTTTTTTAAATCTTACATTTTGCTTGTAGTATATTTGGGTCCAGTTGATCAACATATATGTGTCGTCTTTGTGAAACATCATGCATTAATCTAACTAACCTCAGAAAGTTGTGACAGTTTCTTAAAGGGGTAGTCCACTTAAAAATAAAAAAATCTTTAATATTCCACAAAAGACATTTAAAATTACTGTGCGCAATAAAAAGAGGACAGAATTTTTTTTGTGTGAACTGTCCCTTTATTTTGGATAGATTAACTTTTTGGACTGGTGATGAATTTTGATATTGTTGTAGTAAGTTTTAATATTCTCACATATTTATTTCTCATCATAAGATGAAAAAAAAACCTAAATAAAAATGCCGACTATTAAAACTATGTTTTACCTGCTGGTTCTGACACTGAAAGTGTAGTTGAGGTGTCTTCTTTGCTGATCTCTTTCTGAGGACTAAGCAGACTTTCTTCCTCCTTCTTTATGACTTCTTTCTCCAGGTCAGGTTTAGGTGTCTGTAGGTCTTGCTGGTGGTCTGTGGTTTCTAACACGATTGGATCCTCATTCTGTTGACTTTGAATTTCTGGCTTTGGAGGTGAGGAAGAGAAGTTGACTTCAGGGCTCTGCAGAGGATCTCTATTAGCCTTCTCTCTTATCACCTGCTGATTGTGGTCTCCGTTCACACGTATCAGCCCATCACTCTACATTAAAAATAAAACAATAATTTTTTTATATACAACTTCAATTCTGCACTCTTTACAAAGTAAAAAAACGCTGTAAAATTTACAGTGTTATTATTATTAAAGTGACAGTGATAATTTAGTGTTAGCTTAAAGTGTACAGCAATTATATATTTGCAATTTAAAAGCTAACAGTTTAATTTTGTGAAAAGCACTTTACTTTTAAAATATCATGTTTTTACACGCTCATACAGTATAAATAGGTCTAAAGCTGAATCATACTATTATATTTAGATGTAATTTTCATTTATTCTTTTAGGCTTAATCCCTTTATTAATCCAGGGTCGTCACAGCAGAATGAACCACCAACTTATCCAAAATAAAACTTATGTTTTATGCAGCGTTTTTTAACTGTTTTATGCAGCGGATGCCTCTCCAGCTGCAACCTATCTTTGGGAATCATCCATACACACTCATTCACACTCATACAATACGGACAATTTAGCCTACCCAATTCACCATGTCTTTGGACTGTGGGGGAAACCGGAGCACCCGGAGGAAACCCAAGCGAACGCAGGGAGAACATGCAAACTTCTCACAGAAACGCCAACTGACCCAGCTGTGGCTCAAACCAGTGACCTTCTTGCTGTGAGGCGACAGCACTACCTACTGTGCCACTGCATCGCCCAGATGTAATTTTATATATATTAAAGTTTAAAACATTTTTTTACCATTTAAAATGTAGTACACACCAATGTCCTTATTATTTACATACTCCCGGGCCATCCAATATGTATCCAATTTTCTTTCTTTAGCTGGACAGAAATAAAAGTTTGAGCAAAACGTTCCAATATTTGCCTTCATCTAATGCAAGTGAATCCAAGTATTTTTTTTTCAGAATCAAAAAAACATTTACACTATAAATGCTTGCCTTTGGCTAGCTCTGTAATGCAACATTTACAATATGGTTTGAACTTAAGAACACTTTCATTAGATGGCTGGGGTTTTGTGGATTACTTTGGTCTACACTGAGGCCTGTTCAACTGCAATGCAAGAAAATGGAATGTTTTCCCTAATTTTTCTTTGGCTGAAAAACTAAATCTTATAAATACTGACCCGAGGGTCAGTAAATAATCATTTCCCTTTGCTTTCATTTACATAAACAAGCTTTTCAGCCATCTTTATTCGAGTTGGTTTTTGAACTTCAAACCAATTCAAGGATGCTGTTAATTTACTCACCTTCAGGTCATCCCAGATATAAATGAGTTTATTCTTCAGTAGAACATTAAAGAAGATTTTTTAAGTTGTGGTGCTGTTTTGTGTGTAATGTAAACATATTTACTGTATGTACAATCATATAGTACTTCAAGTTACATTTGCCCCACATTATGCAACCTTAAATTACCTTATAATATATAGACATGTACAATTGGCTATGCAGATTTTGTGGTCCATGATTTATTGATTTATGAAATGCAAATCAATGACTATCAGCACTTTGAGAGTACATATACAAACTAAACAAAAACATTACCTGTGGCTCCTGATGATACATTAATACTTTATAAAGCAAAAAAACTGGTCAGTGCAAGAAACGTTCGAGGTTACAGAAGTAACCCTTCGTTCCCCGAGGAGGGGAACGGAAGTGCCATAGAGTGGATTGATTGAATCCACGAAATGGGAGGATTCGGTTCAGAAGCCGCTTGTCTGAAAGAGTATTGAACGGGCCAATGAATGCAATGAATTGGCAGCGTAAGCTTGCACAGGTGTACTTCATTGCCAATTATCCCAGCATATAAGCACACCTGGAGCGAGTAGACGCCATCCTTTTAAGCTGAAGAGACTTTCAAACAGCTAAGGGACAGTCATTATGGCGACGGAGTATGGCACTTCCGTTTCCCTCCTCGGGGAACAAAGGGTTACTTCTGTAACCTCGAACGTTCCCCTTCGGTTGGGGAACTTCAGTGCCATAGAGTGGATTGATTGAATCCACGAAATGGGAGAAGAATGGAAAGCGCCATAATGACTGCACCTTACCAACGCCCCCGATGAGGGGATTGTCAAGCAAGCGTGACGCACCCACATCATGGGAGGCTCGGTCCTCCAACGTGTCCCTGGCCCTAATTTATCCTACTTCAACAGAAGTTTTACAGATTTAGATATATTTTTGGGAAGTCGTGAGCATCTAGATAATTCTAGGAAAATACGACAGTACGTTGGGAAGCGTGCAATCCCGATAGGGAGGACGCTGCGGAGGCCATCCGTTACCCAAAGGGGGATAGATGGCAGAATTTACATATGGACTAGCCCTAAAAAGGGGGAGTACGCATAGCAAAAGAGTGGTTAGCGGGGAGGGTAGACACGGGTCCGCCCAGGGGGGGGGACTTAACCGTGGCGGAATAAGCATATGGGATCGCCTAGTGGGGATCACGCATAGCAGGCACCTTTACCCAAAACGCGGGCTGACCAGCGGGCAGACCTACAACGTAGTGGGCCAGCAAGTGACTCCTCCGCTGAGTCAGTGCTGGGGGCCACGGAGGAATCTGCAGGGCTCACCTGATGGGGAACTTTACTGACAGATAAAAAGGCGCACGTATCTCCGTGTTAGGGAAAATGGCGCAGCAAGCGTGTTTCAACACCCTACCGAATTGTTTCCTCAATCACCAAGGGTTACCTAATACCCTTGAGGAAACCGGCTCCACTCGCAGATTGTAAAACCTTGCAAATGTGTTGGGTGTCACCCAGCCCACAGCTCTACAGATGTCTGTTAGAGGGGCGCCGCGTGCGCGCGCTCAAGAGGATGCAAAGCTCCAAGTGGAGTGCGCACGCGCTCTCGGGGGACGCGGCTCATCTCGGCTCTGATAGTGAAAGAAAGGCATCCACAATCTAGTGGGAACTTATTTCGGTACGGCACTTCCCTGCTGCCGACCGCTATAACAGACGAAGAGCTGCTCAGATGATCTAAACTCTGAGTGCGGTCCGGATAATACGCAAAACGCGAACTGGACAATAAAGAAGGGCTGGGTCTGCCTCCTCCGAGGGCAGCGCTTGCAGGCTCACTACCTCGTATTAAAACGGAGTGGTAGGAACCTTGGGCACATATCGCGCGCGGGGTCTCAGGACGTAAGAGAAAGCCAGCCCAATTACAGGCACGAGTCACTGACCGAAAAATGCCTCCGGGTCCCCGACCCTCTAATCGATATCAACGTGACCAGCAGAGCTGTCTTCAGGGACAGAAAGATACTGAGTCGAGGATCGAAGGGATCTGACGCGGCTTGTGTAGCGAGGGCGAGATCCTAAGAGGGCATGAGAGGGGGCGGGGTGGATTAATTCGCTTAGCGCCCCTGAGGAACCAGATGATGAGGTTATGCGTTCCCACGGTGCTGCCAGCCACCGCGTTATGAGAGCGGAGATGGCAGCCACGTAACCTTGAGTGTGGAGGGCGACAGCCCGCTCTCCAACTTCTCTCGGCGTAAAGAAAGCACAACGCTGATCTGGCAAATTACGGGGGTCTTCTCAGCGAGAGACACACCATTCAGTGAATAGACTCCACGTCAGGGCATAGGCGCGCTCGGGGAGGGGGCTCTAGCCCGAGTGACGGTATTAGCCACCGCAATTGGAGGTTACCTAAGTCTTCCTCGCGTCTAAAAATCTCCAAAGATCGGCGAGGGTGCCAGGTGGTGCCCTGTCCCTGAGAGAGTAGGTGCTCTCTCGAAGGGACTGCCAGGGGAGGGCTATCGCGAGAGAGAGCTCTGACATCCAGGTCCGGTTGAGCCAGAGGGGCGCAACCAGCAACCTGTTCCTCGTCCTCCCTGACCTTGCACAGTAACTGCGCGAGCAGGCTCACTGGGGGAAACGCGTATTTGCGCATGCCCCGAGGCCAGCTGTAAGCCAGTGCATCCGTGCCGAGAGCACTCGGTCAGGGAAAGAACAACTGGCAATGAGCGATCTCGGGGGAAGCAACAGATCGATCTGGGCTTCTCCGAATCGCGCCCATATCAGCTGAACAGACTTGGGGTGGAGTCTCCATTCTCCAGGACGCAAGGCTGCTGTGAGAGCGCATCGGCTGCACGGTTGAGCTTGCCTGAATATGAATGGCGTGCAGCGATTTCAGCCGCGGATGACTCCAGAGGAGCAGACGGCGGGCGAGCTGAGACATGCGGCGAGAGCGCATACCCCCCATACGGCTGATATACGCCACCACCGCCTTACTGTCCGTCCTGACCAGCACGTGTTGCCGCTCCAGCACCGGAAAAAAAACGGTGGAGAGCGTGGAACACTGCCAACAGCTCCAGGCGATATGCCAATGCAACTGGGTACCTTTCCACAGGTCCGCAGCCGCATGCCCGCAACGCACAGCCCCCCAGCCCGTGTTGGAAGCGTCTGCTGAAACGACAACAAGACTGGACGCCTGTTCTAGAGACACCCAGGCCTGTAGGAACGAGGGGTCGCTCCAAGGGCTGAGGGCGCGGCGACACAGCGCAGTAACAGAGACTCGGTGTGCGCGCGCGTGCCATGCGCGTCTGGGGACTCGATCGTGAAGCCAGTGCTGAAGTGGTCTCATATAGAATAATCCGAGCGGCATGAAGTGGCTGCGGATGCCATATGCCCCAGGAGCCTCTGAAATTGTTTCAGTGGGACCACTATTTTACTGTCAAGCTCTCTCAGACAGTACAGCATCAGCTGAGCGCGCTCTCCGGAGAGGCGCGCTGCCATGGTGACCGAGTCCAGCTCCAGCCCGAGAGAAGAGATCCTCTGCACGGGGGCGAGTTTGCTCTTTTCTCGGTTGACCTGAAACCCCCACAGGTGGAAGTGCCAGAGCACTTTGTCTCTGTGCATAATCAATTGCTCCGAGAGAGGGCAAAAATCAGCCAGTCGTAAAGAAATCGAGTATGCAGATGCCCGCGAGCTGAAGGGGCGCTGAGGCACCCTCCGCGGGCTTGGTGAGGACCCGCGGAGACAGAGAGAGCTTGAAGGGGAGGGCTTTGTATTGCCAAGCTCGACCTTCAAACGCAAACCGCAGAAACTGACGGTGGCGAGGAAGAGTGGAGACATGGAAATACGCGTCCATCAGGTCTAATGCTGCAGACCAACCCAGAGGACGAACGCACCGGAGGATGCGCTTCTGCGTGAGCATTCTGAACGGCAGCTTGTGCAGGCAGCGGTTCAAAACGCACAGATCTAGGATTGGCCGTGACCCACCGCTCTTTTTGGGCACGATGAAGTGTGGGCTGTAAAACCCGCTCTCCATCTCGGCTGGAGGGAGCGGCTCGATTGCATCCTTCGCCAGGAGGACAGCAATCTCCTCTCGCAAGACAGGGGCGGACAGGGGGCTGACCCTGGTGAATACACATCAGCGACTTGGGGGGCCGTTTCGCGAACTAAATCGCATAGCCGAGTCTGATTGTGCGTATGAGCCACCGCGAAGAGCTGGCCCGCGCTAACCAGGCAGGCAGAGCTCCCGCTAATGGACTCATCGCTACAATCGCTGACGTACCAGCAGTGGGGCAGCGCGGAGTGGGTGTGCTGATCCGGGAAGCTCGCGGGTCCCACGGAAAAGCTGGAGGTGAGATATTTGCTCTCACTCCGAACCCGAGCTCCGGAGGGGAGGCTCGAGGGGTGGGAGAAAGGAGACCGTCCTCCCAGCGCTCGTGAGCCACTGGCGAAACGCACCGAATCTGCAAGCTAGAAAGCATAGCGTCCCAGACTGGCAGATTTCGGGCTGTCACATCTGGGGAAGTGGAAAAGTGCCCTTTCATAATGTTTTCATGGCAGTAAAAAGTGCCGTTGGAAATGGGGCCCCGCCCTCCAGTGGGGAAAGAGCAAGTTCCCTCTTCTCCAGATGGCCTGTCCCAGGGACACTTCGCGGTCCGTTGCCAGACTTAGCGGCGTTCTGGGCAGGGGGGCTGCCTGCTTCCGAGGTGCCCGACGCGCTCGCTTCGCCAGAGGCGTGTGCGGGGGCGGTGCAGCTCTCGTAGGCGGGCGCCTTCGGCGAGGAGCAGGTATGAATGGCACGGCAGGCGGAGCGGGCTACGGACCGCCGATAAGACATCACCCACCAACTGCTCTCTCACCGCCTTGAATTCCTGGGTGAATTCACAGACGGTGTCGCCGAACATGGCTTGGGATATGGGAAAAGTCAAGAAAGCGGACTTTGTCGACTTCGCGCATATCAGCCAGGGGTGGCACTCCTGGATCACTAATGTGGACATCGTCCTCCCCAACGCACACGCAGCGGACTCAGTAGTCCGAAGAGCTAAGTCGGCGGCGGTGCGAAGCTCGTAAGCCTGGGTTGGACCCACCCTCGTGCAGCTCGGCCAGCGCCTGCGCTAGGTAGCACTGGTAGGTGGCTATCGCATGCAAGGCGGAAGCAGCCTGGCCCGCAGCTATGTAAGCTCTAGCTCCGAGGGAGGTAGATAACTTACAGGCTTTGGATGGGAGACGAGGCGGACCCCGCCAAGAAGAGGCGTCGCGCGGATTTACCGCCATCGCGCACTCAACCTGAGGAATCGCCACATACCCCCTGGCTGTTCCACCGTCAAGAGTGGTTAGGGTGGAGGGACATGCAGCACGAGCAGAAAAAAGTGCTTTACAAGACCGCGTGAGCCTACTGTGCACCTCCGGGAAGAAGGGAACGCCCCTCTAGTCGGTCCGGCCGCGGAGCTGGGGGATAACCATCTCCAACCCACGGCCGAAGCAGCCCCGGAAAGCACGGCTAACATGTCCGTTTCAGGATCCGTAGTGACAGCGCTCACCAGCCCGAAGGGGGCGAGCGGGTCTGGATCATCATCAGACAATGAAAGCCCACCCTCCGATGCCGCGGTGGACGTCTGGTCTCCGGTGTCATCGGGCGTAAGGGCTACCATCTGTTAGACGGATTGCTTCCCCCGCCCGAAGCTTGGATGGAGCGCTTAGAGGAGCGGGAGGTCCGCGGGCCCGTGGGCGACGGATTATCTCTCGCTGAAACCCTCAGATCTGCCCGAGTGCCCGCTGCAGAGCAAGAGACAACTGGGGTGGTTCGCCCTTTTGCAAAGGCTAGCCGCGATCTTTACTGCGCAACAGTCATGGCATCGCAATGACGACATGAACTGCCCGCGAGCAGCGCATTAACATGCTGGACCCCCCCGACATGCAACGCAGTGCTCGTGCCCATCATCCGAGGACAGGAAACCACCGCATCCAGAAACGCACAGTCGGAGCGCCGTCCTGAAAAGGACGTGCTGCACGACTGTGTTGCTCTTTCTGTGAAGTTTGCAACTTTATACGCACCGCTCTGGAGGACCGGACCCAAAGAACGCCAGGCAAGGGAGAAACCCAGCTCGACCGTCTGCCACTGCGTGTACACACTCTGGACCGGGAGAATGCTCTCGTTCGCTCAGAATCGCTGGTCATAGCAGGAGGAACCCTCATCGACTCGATCAGAAAGTCTCTGAAGCGAAAAGGATGGCGTCTACTCGCTCCAGGTGTGCTTATATGCTGGGATAATTGGCAATGAAGTACACCTGTGCAAGCTTACGCTGCCAATTCATTGCATTCATTGGCCCGTTCAATACTCTTTCAGACAAGCGGCTTCTGAACCGAATCCTCCCATTTCGTGGATTCAATCAATCCACTCTATGGCACTGAAGTTCCCCAACCGAAAGGGAACTGAACATTGTTTAAACATATTTTACCTGTATTATGTATTATCTGTAATACATAGCCATTACAAACAATACTAAACACATTCACGGCAGTCAACGTTAATGTTCTACTCAACACAATAAGTCACCTACAGTTGAAATCACAATTGTTGGCCTTCATGAAATAAATTTTTTTCTTTTTCAAATATTTACCAAACAAGGATTAACAGAGCAAGGAATTTTTCACAGTATTGTCTATATAATTGTTTCTTCTAGCAAGACTTATTTGTTTTATATTTGCAAGAATAGGTTGTTTTCACATGATGTCATTGATGATGTGCAAGATTCAAAAAGGGGGCAGGAAGTGATTCTTTTACACAGGTATTGCTATCAGAACATCAAAATGCTTCTGTTTTATGTCGTTTAAAATTGTTTAAACCAGCCAAAATAAGAAATGCCGAACAGCTTTTATAGACTTCCAAAAGTTTTTGATCATAAAGGGGAGAAAGTTCAAGAAACTGGCTGAAAAACAGAAGGCAGCATGTAATAAATAATCATTCAGTACATCCATGTCTACAAACTTTTTTGAATGCGATAATTCCTTTGACAGCCCTAATAAATATTATATACAGGCCTAGCTATGTGTGTAAATATGCTGACATATTATATAAAAATCAGATCCAAACACCACCACACATCCAGAATCCTGGAGAATATTATTAACGTACCCTGGCATGTAATTGCTGCAATGAAATCTCAGTCTTGTTTTGCAATAATCCAAGTCTGTTCTGGCATTTCAGCAGAATAAACAACCGTAACGTGAGCATCAAGACGAGCAGCAGTAATGAATGTTTGTTGATGGTAAGTTCATTGATCGGACAAAAAACTAAATAAAACCCTTGCGACAAAACTAGACGGTTATTATTGTGGAGCACTTTTCCCCCTTACAAAAATGAATAAATAATAATGTAGACTATGTGTCCACACTTCTGTATGCATTCATCTATTATTTCGTGATTTTTCAAAGATATCAGCATAGCAGAAAAAACCTATAGTAATTAATAATAAACATTTTTTGAACCACATAGTAAAGTGGAAATGCGTATAGCTCTTTGTTAATGAATGCTACAGAATACGGTAGTATTGTAAACTGATAAACTGTAATAAATACTGTATCGTTAATGTAAACCGGTATATTGTGAAGGTGTATAATAATAGAAACCTATTGAATAATTTGTTTATTACTACAGTGGTGTCGTACCACAGCAATTCAAGTCATTATCTATAGTATGCTTCCAAACACTATAGTATTTACTGTAGTATTTTTTCATGTAACATAATAACTTATACGGTATCTAATGCCTCGATAACTGGCAAAAATATTTTAGTTCAGTTGAAAACTTGGACCTTCTTCATGATATGAGGTTCATATGTGGCTATTTTTTATTGATATCTCTTTTGAAATATGGTATAAATTGCAAAAATACTTTGACTTTCCTTTGTGTCTCCCATTCAGTTTTTTACTTCCTGTCCTCCATCTGAATTTTACGCGTCATGAGAACCACATGATTAAAAACAACCTATAAAAGCAGCTTTTAATAAAAAAATAAAAAAATAGGTCAATATTATTAGTCCTATTATTAGCCTAATTAACCTAGTTGAGACTTTAAATGTCACATTAGGCTGAATACTATTATCTTAAAAAATATGTAGTAAAATATTATGTTCAGTCATCATGGCAAATATAAAAGAAATCAGTTATTAGAAATGAGTTATTAGAACTATTATGTTTAAAAATGTGTTGAAAAAATCTTCTTTCTGTTAAACAGAATAATTTTAACTTCAACTGTACATTTTCAATGGTTTGAGGGGGGAGTAAATTAAAAGAATATTTTAAATTTTGGGTGCCCTTAAAAACCCCATGGTCATATATTCTCACCTTCAACGATTTGCGGAAGCCTTGGCTGAATTTGGGCTGGCTGTAGGGTTTGGGGGTGATCAGGGGTACAGGCTTTGATGGAGCTGGAGGAACTCGTGAAGGTGCCGACAGGACTTCTGGAGCTTTGATGCACTTGGGAGGTGGTGTAGGTTTGGGGATTTTAGGCTGTGCCGGTGCCTCATCATGTGTAATCTTCTGCTTTACATGGACAGTCTGTTGTGTTTGGGTAGTTTGTGAAAGTTCTGGAACCTCTGCTTCTACTAATGTAGTGGATGTGGTCTTTTGCTCGGGCTGATGGAGGGGGGACGTGTGCATCGGTGAGGCGGCAGAAGGCAGTTTGGGGAGCTGGAGTTTCTCCAGTATGGCATCGCTGATGGTGAAACGGAGAGCATATCGCTGAAGCACAGCTGCTTTCTCTTCTGGACTGGAGGCCTTACAGTATTGTTCATGCAGCTCCTGTTCCCTTTTCTCTCTAAAACAGAGGCGGATAAATCAGGCGTCAATGTTTAAGGTATATAAAATTTTAGTTTAAGACAAATTTTTAGAAATGTTTTCATTTTGTATTCATAGTTTGTATATTATAGATATTGTTTCTGTTTTTTCAAGAAAAGTGAAACAAAATTTAACAACCAACAAGTTAAAATATATTATTAAGATATTAATAATAATAACAACAACAACAACAACAACAACAACAACAACAATAATAATAATAATAATAAATAATAATAACAATACGACCCCAGATTAATAAAGGGACTAAGCTGAAAAGAAAATAAATTAATGAATGAATGAATGATAATAAAAAATAAGAATATTAATAATTATTATTATAATTATAACTATTAATAATAAAAATACAAATAATAAATAAATAAATAAATAAATAATAAACATAATATTAAATAATAATAATAATGCACAATAATAATGCATAGTAATAATAAATAACATAATAAAAATAATAATAATAATAATAATAATAATAATAATAATAAATAAATAATAATAATAATAACAATAAATAATAATAATAATAATAATAAACAGTAATAAATAATAATATTAATAATAATAATAATAATAACAATTTTTCCAGTGATGGGTTGTGGTTGGAAGGGCATCCGCTGCGTAAAAACGTGCTGGATAAGTTGGTGGTTCATTCCGCTGTGGCAATCCCAGCTTAATAAAGGGACTAAACCAAAAAGAAAATTAATGAAAAAAAAAATAGTAATACAGATATTACATATTTTTTATTTACATTTTACTTTTACTGAATATTCATCAACCAATTTCCTGTGGCTTAGTCTCTTTATTTTTACTGAATATAATAGAATGTAATTATTATTAGGATATATTACTTTAATTTTAATTAAAACATCATAAATAGCTGATCACAAAGGCAGCTTTAGTCAATAAAAAATACAGTAAATGTAGTAATACTATATACTGAGTATATATATTTTTATATTATCATTTTTTGTGACAATGTAATAATCTTTACTTTTATTTTCAAATTTGACAATTTGACATGGCCTTGCTGTATGAAACAACACTTATGAGTGGTACTGAACTTTCAGAAAAGTTTTTTTTTTATAAATTTTCACTGAATCCATTATTTTGTCTTTATTATGATATTATCAGGGCAATTCTATCACTCTAGCATTTTAGTTCTTCATTTAAATAAATCTTAAGATACAACTAATTACTTTAAAATGGAAAACTCCACTTTTTGGGGGAAATGGGCTCATTTTACAACTCCCCTAGAGTTAAACAGTAGAATTTCATAATTTTTTAATCCATTCTTCCGATATCCGAATCTGTTAGGAGCACTTTTTCTCCTAATTTTTAGACAGATTAGACTATTAGCATCTCACTCAAAAAAAAAGTTTAGTTAAAAAAGTGGTTAAACTTAACTGTTCAACTATAGGTGACTTAAAAAAAAAGATTATTTCCAAAATAATAAGTAGTGTTCCATTTAAAAGCAATGGGTGATGTCAAGTAGTCATCAATGTGTTAAACCTAAATGTAAAGAAAGTTCCACTTGTGTCTCACTTCTCCTCTACAATTTCTTTGTATGTTTTGATGCTCTTCTTGCGATGTCCGTGTCCTCCATCCGTTGTCATTAGCTTCTCCATCATCTTCCTCTCCTCCTCCTTTTTGATCAGATCTTGAGAAGCGCTTCGCCTCCGGTTCTTCCAACGAGCCAAATCCTACGCACAGAAGCCAGAAAATGTACACAGGCATGCATATGAGCCTGTTAAGCGTGTCTGCGTGTGGGTGTGTTCAGTGTGACTCACGTCCTGCCACTGGTCCTCCTCCTCCTTCACTTTGTTGTACTGGTTGTGTAGGTGCTCGTGTCGTGATTGGCTGTGCGGCCGAAGGTATGCAAGCTCATCCTCTTCATCACGCATGTCAATCAAACTCACGCTCCTTAAAATAACAGACAAAAGCAAAGTCACGGTTACAAGTGCTGTAATGCTTTTAGGTGAAGACGGAAAGGTATGATCAAAGCCAGATCTCTTCTTCTAAGACCTGAAGAGATGAAGAAAGAAAAGTCTTGATTAAAAAAGAGGCGTCAGAATGATGTTAAAAAGGAATGGTTTAGTTAAGTGAAAGAAATATTAGCTGAAGAAAAACACATGATTATAAGGAACATGTTCAACACAAACAGATAGGGAGACCATAGTTTACGTGACATGTCCTGGCCAGGATTTCTATATTGATTAAATATCCAGCTTTTGGCTGTTTGCAGTGTGCAGACCGGTCTGTTAGAGGTCATCCAACAGTCAATCTGCACAATGCCACTTGAATGAACAAACATCTAATATGTACTCACATTAGCATCACTTGACTGATTGATCAGCAGCTATGAAAATCAGACAACAAAGCGGAATATAGAAATCCTGGCCAGGACATGTCCCTTAAAGGAACACTCCACTTATTTTGAAAATAGGCTCATTTTATAACTCCCCTAGATTTCAGCATTATCATTTCTGAATTCATTCAACCAATTTCCAGAACTGGTGGGAGCAAATTTATCTTAGCTTAGAATAGATCATTAAATCAGATTAGACCGTTAGCATCTCATTCAAATAAGTTTTTATAATTCTTTTATTGAAGCTTGACTCTTTTGTAGTTACATAAGGAACATGAAATGTCAATATTTTCTAGTCATATTAATCAAGGAACTTTGCTGCCGTACCATGCCTGCAGCAGGCACAATGATATTACACACTTTTGCAATACCAGTTAGAATCTGCGTAATAATTGTGCCTGCCGCAGGCATGGTAAAACATTAAAGTTCCTTGATTATTATGCTGATCATTTCCAAGCAAGATGCTAATGGTCTAATGACATTCAATGATCTATGCTAAGCTAGGCTAAAAGTGCTCCTGCCAGACCTGGAGATCGGCTAAATAGATTTTAAAAATGTAAAACTCAACTGTTTAAGTTTAGGGGAGTTGTAAAATGAGTTGTTTTTTTAATGTGCAGTGTTCATTTAAAAAATGGCACATATGGTCACCCTACAAAAAGACCAACTACAGGAAAGCAAAAATGAACCAATTTGATAATATCTTTTCTTTATTACTCAAGAAACCCTCATGTTGTTCGAAACCTATATTAATTTTTTTTTAAAGCACCAGAAAAAATAACTCAAAATGTGTTTAGCGGAAGAAACTATCACAAAATAAACCACTTCAATTTAAATTATATGTGAGGCTGAACTTATATGCTGATCATTTATTATTGGGATTTCATTCATTCATTAATTTTCCTTCTGCTTAGTTTCTATGTGATTTTCTAATAACCATTCATTTAATTATGCTCGTTTTTCATAAAAGATTTTATAATCATGTCATTGTTTACTTATCCTTCACTTGTTTTTCAGTTTCTTTCTTTTGTTGAACACAAAGAAGACCAGCAACCATTGACACCCTTGTATTTTTTTGTTTCTGTTACGTCAATGATTGCTGGTTTCAAAAATTCTTAATACCATCTTATTTTGTGTTTAACAACAATGGTGAGGATATTTTCATTTTTGGGTAAACTATCCCTTCAACAGCATGTCAACAACAACTTCTGTTACACTAGCTGTGTCTCATTTCAGAGGCTGCATCCTCCGAAGGATGCAGACTTCAAAGATGAGTCCTTCTAAGTCCACACAAGCCGAACTGAGCATTTTGAAATGAGACAATCCAGCCTACAGAGGACAGCTCTCATCACCTAGCAACTGCAACAGCTGCTGTTAATAAGCAGTAATAAAATTCGTAATTACTTTTTTTTCAAAGTGATTTTAAAACTTATTTAAGGTGATCTGAAGGCAAAACAAGGTTTACAGAAGCTGGTAATATTTTTCCTTTCATCCATGCATGTACAAACAAACATGTAAACTGTCGTCAGACTTGTCAAACTCTTTTTGTTTTTTAACATGTGTTTAAATATTCACGTAAAAAACAAACAAACAAACAAACAAACAAACAAAAAACTAATTCATACATTTAAACCAGAGTTTTTTTTTTAAATCGTCCTGCCGTTATCAGCGAGCAATGAATCTTGGGATGTTCGAGGCCGCAAAGGATCCACCGGTTGTGCCCTTCATTACCTGGGAAACGAAGGACGCATTTGGAGGCTGCGTTTGAAGGAGCTTTCGAACTGTTTTGAAATGAGACCGCCTACGTCGTGCCGCGATGACACAGTTCACTTCGAATGCAGCGCACTTCTATATAAAAATATATTTTCTTCTTATCTTATTAACAAAATTTTTAATACATAAATGTAAATTTTCAAACCAAATATTTTTATAGATATATTTTGCTTACTGAAATGCAGTATTACTTGGAAACTGTTCTAACATTTTTACAAAAAAAGGCTTTAAAAACAACTGAAATTTGTTCTTTAAAAATTCTTTAATGTGTAATGTATATATCCCTTCTGTTTGTTTTTGTTGTTTTTTGTTGTTTTTTTTTTTTTCAAAAAATGTGTTCTTTTTGTCTTTCCATTTTCTTTATAATGTACTGTGATTGTATATTCTCATTTTTCGCATAAAAAAGGATGCAGCCTCTGAAATGAGACACAGCTACTGTGTTGTTAAATCACAGTGAATAAACAATTCTATTTTAAAAAACTGCATTTTTAAAGCACTAACAGAATGAGGACTCGTACAATTTGTACAGTAGAAAACAACTTTTTAGTATGAATGTCAGATTAATTATACTGTATATACAGTATTAAACATTCGAAGTGAATAAAAAAAAAATCAAACTTGTCCTAGTGCAAGAATGAGTGTTGTTAAATAGTTTTAGGACAACTTTGATGAAAGTTGATGATCCACTTTAAATGTTGACTACTGTAGTATGAATCATTTCATCTGATATAATCGTTTTTAATTAATTAGTTCATCCCACTCAAAAATGATCTGAATACTCTCAATGAATTACATAAATCCAATTTTTAATTTTTGCAATCTGATTATGTCAAGTTTAATGTAAATCATTTTTTTCGTCACCAAAGCCATACAGATTTCGAACATCATGAGTAACTAATAATTTAATAACTTTTTTTTTTTGGATGAACTGTCTTTTTAAATGCAAGAGGGTATGCTGTAGTGGACTGCTATTGTAAAAGTGTGTACAGTACAGTTTGTGTGTGTATAAACACTTTCTCCAGGGAGTAAAAGAATCCACCACAGCAAACCATGAGGAAGGCTCAAACATTTGTTGTTACATGCATGTGTAGAGGCAGACTTGAGTGCTTAGCTTTTGTACACACATGCATAAAGAGCCAGAAAGAGTAGATCAGTTGAGAAAATGATTGTATCTGCGTGTATAGAGACACTGCTGAATGCATGTGTTAAGAGTACATGCAACTGCTCAGCTCTGCAGCAACAGCAAGAAGGAGAAATCTAATTTAGATGCAAAATAGACAGAAAAGGGAAAAGAAACTTACTCCGCTTCATCAGAAACACTAGTAGCTCTGAATCTAGAACATTAAAAAAAAACAATAAAAAATAAAAGTTGAGGACAAAATGTTTGAGCTAAACATAGGACTAAGAACAGAACTATCGTTTTAAACAAGATTTCCCTCACTATGCTATATGCTAAAAGTTAGGTACTAAGAAAATGTTTAAATAACATTGGCATACCTAAAAATATCTGCCCTATAGTTGTCAAGCATTTGTACTAGGGCTGCACAATATACCGATACAATTTAGTCACATCACAAGTTATGTAATATTAAGTTGGTATTATAGATGACCAAGAACCACAGGTCAGAACACATGCGATTTGTAAATTGACTCTGCAGAATTTAAGCACAACAGAGTGAAAGTTTATTATCTGCATGTTTTTTTTAAGGCCTGTGATTATGTAACTATTGTAAGAGATTTTAAAGCTTTTTAATAGAGCATAAAGAAGTTTAATAAAGATTCATTTTATTGATCAATTTATGATGAAGACTATGCATTGTTAATTTACATTTGATTATTTAATTTTTTATATCCGAATACTGTTTGACTCTGCCCAGAAAACCATAAATCACTGTTTATTTCACTTTAATGCTCCATTGTGTTTATTTATGATAGTATTTTTGTTTATTATATGTATATAATAAATTACATAAAAAAATATTTTTATTTGACTCCCCAGTAGAATCATCCCAATCAATCGAAATTCATTGCTAAAAGAGTCTGGTGAAATTAAATCCTAATACATTACATTATATACATCTGAATTTATACAACAGTTCTGTCTGGTTCTCGAATCTGATTGGTTGATACCCATGCAATATTCTGCAATATCAGAACTCTTACATCCTCCTCCCCCTTATGTATAACTATACATACTTATGTATTACGCCCACACAGAGTGACAGCAGATCAATAAACTTAATACAGTTTGACAAATATTGCAGCTGTTGGACAACATAATGTACTTTTGAGGAATTTTTAGGCGAGAATGTAGTTGATTAGATTGCAACTATAAAGTTTATTTATGAGGATAGTGCTTATTTTAAATAGTTGTAATTTCTGAGATTTAGTGCATCAGCATCCATCAGCCTGTCATACTGAGGAGAACGAAGACGGTTGACGTTCCGCCACAAGTTGGTGACAGAGAGCGCATAATAAGCCCTTAAAGGAGAAAATATCAGAGTATTTTTTACTTCTTATCAAATTATTATAAAACAGGTAAATGAGATTCTAAGTTGATCTCTGTTTTGTATGTTGTAGTGCTGTATTTATATCATAGTATTTGTAGTGTATTGTCATCACTTTAGACATCATGCTAGAGAATCATTCAAATACTAGCTCTAAAGTGACATTGGTGAATTAGTAATGGTTTTTACTGTTTTGACATCAGCAGCAGATTTGAATGAATGGCGGAAGTAAGTAGTTCTTCATACAAAAGGACTTTTGACACTCTCCTTGTTTGATTAGCTTTTTTATATACACAATTATTCCGTCAAACTGTTGTATAAACACAATATCGCACTCGTAGTAGTGCGATATGGCTGTATATCATCACTGGTGGGACACTAAGGCAAGATATATAAATAGCAGAGAAAAAAATATTGCAATGTCAAATTTTTTCAATATTGTGCAGCCCTAATTTGTACATGCCTTTATAAAGAATATGTATTATACAAGGGAATGATATTACAGTTTTTGTTTAGTCTTTTTACAGTAAATGATAATGGTATTGTTTTTAAAACTTCCTATTTGCAACATATTTTCAAAGGTTTGGACGTTCAGGCAGCCAAAAATGTTTCGAGTTAAAAACATCATGTATAAGCGGGGGGAAATTACCCCAGTGATCATCAAAATCAACTTTCTGAAAGGGAAAGTTAATCCAAAAATGAAGATTTACTCTCCCCCAAGTGATTCCAAACATTTATGAGTTTCTTTATTTCCAGTTGACCCCAAGAAAAGACATTTTAAAGAATTTTAGTAACTAGTATCCATTGACTTTCATAGTAGAAAAATATGCTATGGAAGCTAATGGTTGGCAGCATTGTTCAGAATATCTTCTTTAAGAATTAAAGGAGGAAAGAAAGTGTGGGGTGAGTAAGTGACATTAAAACTAGTTTTGGATTAACTATGCCTTTAATTTACTTTCCTGACCATGTACGGCAAACTGTGGTCCAAAACACACAAGCTAATTATTATGGTTCACAAAACATGTCACAAAAATTGTTTAAAATCAGAATTAATGTTGATTTTAAGGTGCTGTAAGTGATGCTAGCCATATTGTTTTACATTTCCACCAGCTTGGTAGTGCATTAAATCCATAAATTTTATCTAACATCCCACCTTAAAATGATACATACATCAAAAGTGCCTGATTTCATCAATAAAATGCCTTACAACACCTTTATGGACACCACTGCCCCAGTGAAAACAGAGAAAGAGTGAGAAAATGCATTCATTCTCTTTCCATGCAGACACATGAAAACACATGATCTCAGTCAGAGCTCTTTTCAAAAGTGGTAAATTGGTCCTGAAAGTGCTTTCTCACATTGGGGGTAGATCATCATCATCTTCCTGCCAAAGGGGCCGACGGGACGGTTGCTCAGGCATAGGGGACAGGCTTTTGGTAATAGTCTCATGTTTAATAAGACTTTCCTGTCCCCCAGAGCCCGCCTCCTGCCTGTCCATCATCTGAGGCCACTTCCTGGGCATGTCCTCAGCATCTCTTGGGGGCGGGGCCACAGAGCTAAGGGTGAAGCTGAGAGAGTGGCCATGGTTACTAAAGCAAAGCAGGGATATAAAAGGGAGGCTGAGGCTCTGTTCTCTGACTATAAAAGACAAATCAAAAGCCAGACCAGCCGCAAAGAACAGAGAATACAAACGCATTAAACAGTCAAGAGAAAATCAAAAATAGACAAATAGCACACAAATTATAGCTTTTGATAATTGTAAAAATATGTATAAAAGACAATTGAGAAATATATTTGGTGGGACAAGAAATTCTATATTTGTTAATATGACAATTGCGTTTTTTTTCTTTATACAAATGCTGTAAATAACAATGTTTTTGGTTACTCTTCATCTTAAGGTACATTTCTATTAACAAATCACTAACTATGACTTATAGCATGATAAACCCCTAATTTGCGGCTTAGTAATACACTGCAAAACAAATTCTTACCGCTTTAAGTTTTTAGTCAAATAATCTTCTCAATATACAGTACATCGTTCAACTGACTAAAAAAATTAATTAAAACCTAATTAACTTATTAAAATAAGTTAAAGTAACAAAAGCGTTTAATGCAATAGATTTTTGTCACATTATTTTAATCATGTAGTTATTAAGATATAGTTGTTGATTTATTGGGTAGGATTAGGAATGTACAGTATAATAATATCATGCAGATTATGTACTTATTAACTACTAATAAACAGCCAATATCTTAATAATATTCACTACCTGACAAAAGTCTTGTCGCTTATTTGCGCTTATTTGCTTATGAGCAAAAAATAATAACTTGACTTCTAGTTGATAATTTGGTATTAAACATGGCTTATATGAAAGGCAAAGGCCACTAGAATATACGCTTATTTTGCCAAAATAAAATATGATCATGCCTTGATTTTTAATTATTTCTTAGAACAGTAAGGTCTGACTTTGCTCAGACAAAGGTTTTGTCACTTAACAGAAATAAGGGGGGGGGGGTCGCGTAATATTTTTAAAACATTTTAGCAATGGACAATTGGGAGAACGATCGTCTTGCCTTTAGTTCATTTTATCCCCTGGCTGACCAAAAATATGGACAAATTTGTAATTCATCCTCCACAAGAAAGTCTAATGACCCAAGCATACTGGACTCGGGTTAGGAAAGCTCCTAACATCTCACGTCGCAGTGCTAGCAATACTGGAAACACGAAATGCAGGAAATACCAAGATAGTTACCTAAACTACGGTTTTATTCCATTTTCTCGAAGCAAAGAGTCCCTGACCCAGCCACAGTATATTATTTGCACCAAAGTTCTTTCTAATAAATGCATGAGGCCATACAATTTAAAAGGCATTTGCAGACGATTCATCCCCAATACCTTGACAAGCCCAGAGCATTTTTTGAGAACAAGGCAAAAGAATTGACACACCCAAAATGAGATGAGGGACGTCACAGCTACTGACAAGAAGCTTACATTGGGCCAATTTAAAGGCCAAAGCCTTACGTTTTTCAGTTTTGCTTTTATATTTTACATTAGGCAATTATTTGTGCATAAACATGTCTAGATATAGTAATAAACATACCGTTTTCATATATCATTTTTTATCATCCTTACTGCAAACTTATATAAGCGAAAATATAAAATTTTGAGGGTGGTCTTACAATATTTACAATACTTTCTAAGGGAAAAGGGGGTCTCAGGGAAAAAAAAAAGGTTGGAAACCACTGCAGTATAGAATAAAAAGTCATGGTGCAGTGGTAAAAGAATTAATATTGTGTGTGACTCCATGAGCTTGAACAACTGCATCCATACATCTCTGCAATGATTCAAATAACTTACTAATAAAGTCATCTGAAATGGCAAAGACGCCATTAATATTTGTTGCCCTTACAACTGAGATCAACAACAAGACTTTTGTCAGGTAGTGTACCGAGTATAAACCACTAGTTGATAGTAAGAATTGTTCCACATGCTAAAGCTTTTACCATGTGTTTTTATATTTGAAATTTAATTTTTGAGTCAAGTGGGACACATTCTTACTTTCCATCAGTTATACTGATGGAAAGATGTTTAGCATTTTTACATGCTTCATTTTCTACCACTTTCATTTTATTAACTGCTATAAAATGACATGATAGAACAGATCACTTCAATATGGCAATGTCATTGGCCCTTTATAGTTTCCTGCTTGTTGTCAAACTATTTCACAACTATAACAAGAGACAATTCAATCATGACTTAACATTAAAACAGCTATCATAACATTATGTATCAATATGTTGACCTTCTTGCATTCTCGAAAGCTATGGAAATTAAAACTGTAAAACAGGAAATACATTAGGACCATTGTTATTGTTTACATCCCTCAAAATAGCTGATAGTCTCAGACAGGAAAATAACTTAAAGCTACAAACAAGTCACATAAATTAGTAAGCACACAACTACCACCGCAAACAAGTAATGCACATGCCATTCATCTCTTCTCTGTGCTTTGAAAATCAATTACACACAGCAAGCCCAAGTCAAAACCACATCTTAAAAGCATCCATGTTAATAATCCACACAGATTTAACCAATATCCCTTGTACAAACACCCCAAAACTGACATTCCTTGCAGTTATAGACATCTGCTTCAATTCCAAAAGTTCTAACCTGTCCTGTGATGGGGCTGTCTCATGCTCTCTTGGCTTAACGCAAGACTGTGATCCGCTGACAGGGGTGATTTTATGTTTGACAGCACCAGGTTTGGGCAGAAATGCATTAAAAGACTGTCCTGCCCCTGCGTTTGGCTTTTGATAGGATCCAGTTCTTCGCGCAAGCATATCATCCTTCTCAACATATGGAGATTGACCGTCATCCACATATTCATCATCATCATCATCATCATAATCGCAACTTGCAGAGCGATCAGTGTTAGATGCAGTAGAGCGCACAATATCAGGGCTCTGCTGGGTGACTACAGCAACCGGTGTCTTTGCTACTTGATCGACTGGTTCAAATCTGTCAAAAATATCATATATAGTGATGACAAAATTGCATTCATTTTTCTTTTGTGAAGGTGCAATACTGTACCAAGCACAATTTAATGCAATCAAGTTTTAAACAAATGCAAACTTAATAAAAAACTTTAAAAAAGTAATTCAGAAAATTTAAGGTTAGTTACTTTTTATGGAATGGATGTTTGTTAATAATGTAAACACAAAGTTGTTCATTTCAGGTGAACTGTAAAAAGTGATTAGTTAATCCACTTAAAAAATGTGTAAACCCCTTGTAACTTGGTACATTTTCCTTTGGTTTAGTCCCTTATTTATCAGGGGTTCACACAGTGGAATGAACCACCAACTTTTCCAGCATATCACCACCTTAGAATTATAGAATCATTTAGACTTATAATTCCAAGGTGACAATATGTTTTACACAGCGGATGCCCTTTCAGTTGCAACCCAGTACCGGGAAACACCCATACACTCTCGCATTCATACATTAAGGTCAATTTTGTTTACTCAATTCACCTCTAGAAGATGTGTTTGGGCTGTGGGAGAAACTGGAGCACCCCAACGAAACCCACGCCAACACAAGGAGAACATGCAAACTCCACACTGAAATGCTAACTGGCCCACCCAAGACTCTAACCAGCGACTCTCTTGCTGTGAGGTGACAATGCTAGCCACTGAGCCACTGTGCTGCCACTATTTAGTTCAATCATTCATGCATTCATTTTTCTTCGGCTTAGTCCCTTTATTCATTATAGGGATTGCAACAGCGGAATGACCCGCCAACTTACCCAGCACGTTTTACACAGCGTATGCCCTTCCAGCTGCAACCCAGTACGGGGAAACACTATTAAGTTGACTTAGATTATTTTTTACAACTTTGCACATTAATCATTTACTGAGACAGAGTTTACTCACTTTAAGCAAAGTCAACTAATGTCATTTTACAAAATATCATTATGCATTTTACACAAATGGTGCATTAAAAAGACATGCTTGCGTAGGAAACACTAATAAAATATAAGTAATAACCTTAAAAGGCTCAAAAAATATCTTTTCCACTATTAGCGTGTTAGATTCATGCACAATCACCAAAAAAAGGTTTGAGATTTCCAGTTAGTCTTGCTTGTCCCACCTCTGTCCAATCTTGGTTCTCTTAGTCCTTATATTTCTCTCCAGGTAGTGCAGGTCTCTGTCTCCACTCGAGCCTATCAGTACACCTCCTTTCTGGGCTAAAGAACCACCTACAGTTCCCTCTCTCTTGGACCCCGGCAGCGGGAGGAACTGGTTAAACGAAGTCCCACCCGCTGTCTTCTTAAATGCTCTTGTTCTGCGAGCTAGCATATCATCCTTTTCAATATCCGGCTGCCTTTCTTCGGCTTCGTCTTCTTCATCATCATCCTTCTCATCCTTTGCTTTCTCAACCAGTTCATCCTCCAGCACCCTGCGCTCGGTGGAGGTCAAAGGCCGTTTAAGGTCAAACATGAACGGGTTTGGAGGTTCAGGAGGCATGATAGGAGCAGGCTCAGGGTTTACGTCTCCACTGATTAAGTTAGTTTGAGATGTACAAGAAGAAAAAAGAAAAGGAGAAACAATGAGTCAGAGACAAAAAAGAAAGCATGAGGAGGAAGGACGGATAATGCTGATACAGGCAAGGAAAGATGCAGTCCAGTGGGATCCAAAGCAACTGCACTGCAGTTAAAAACTTAACTTTATAGTACTTCCAGACACAAGCACAAATGCGTTTCATTTTTCCATTTTCCTTCAAAGCCAATGTCAGATATTGAAGTCTACAATTCCACTGTGAGCCGTTCAAAGCTGATTTCTATCCTAATCAGGCCAAAGGTGCACTAACAGCAAAATTCATGACCGCTACATTTGTTAGCATCATGCTAACAGCCTCACTCAAAGCCATTCACAGATAATTTATCTCCTGAACACCCCAAACAGTTATAAGTATCACTCATTCCTTAGACTTGTTATCATCGTGCTAACTGCCATATAATAAGCAATTCACCGCTAATTTCTCTCAAAAACAGGTCAAAATAAGCAAGTATCATGCTTGCTAACAGCCTCAACTATGACCTCTTTAATAATAAGAGTAGTTTTAAGCATCTTTTAGGGGTACTACAGTTGTTAGCATCATGCTAACAGTCTCTCAAGCCACAAATCCTGTTTCATAAAGCCCAGTGTAATAAAAACAGCATGCCCTTTAAAAGCAGCATCACTGCTAATGTCACTACACACATTCCAAACTCCAAAGCACTGTGAGGATCGATATGTGCTGCATGTCTGCTCATATCATCCAGATTAAATACAACTTCCTGAAAACAGGCAATCCTCATCAAGCAGTGTTCGTAATAATGTTGATATAAATAAGCAGATCTAAAACTACTGTTCGCAAGAAAATTTGAGTATTACCATGAACATAAAATGGGTTTATATCATAGTAACAAAAAGGGAAGCAATTTCAACCACTGAAAGAAATATAATTGTTATTTTTATCTCAAAATTTGTCAGATTTAAACCCTTTTTTTACAAACAATTCTGACATCTTTGCAACTTCAGAACTTTGTAAGTGTGAGTTATGATGTATAATTCTGATAAGAAAAGACAATTTTCTGACAATTATTTATTTATCAAGAATTGCATAATTACAGTAAAAAAATGTTACTTTTCTGAAGATGGTCTGCTTATGCAATTTAACCTCACAAACGAACAGGGGTGCGTTTCCCAAACAACGACGTAACTCGTGATTGAACTATCATAATATCATGCATTGTTTGGGAAAAGAACGATGTAGTGACGAGTGCTTCACAAAACTGTAGTTTCTCTGCCGCAGATCCATCATTTGAACCATGTTAGTTATAACGTAAAATGTCCATAATGACGCTCTTAACAGGGTGGAGTAACTTCTTCTTTAGAGAAAAAACCCATTATTTTTTTGTACAAATTATTGTTTTACATGCACACGCATTTATAAAAAAATCCAATATTATTTTTAGTAAAACATGCACTCGTTTTCCATATTAATTGAAATATATGTAAACGACACATACAGTATAGGATCTATATATGTTTCTTTTACAAATTTAATTGAGAATATCCCATATAATATCACTTAGCTAACATGTATTCTAATCTCACAGAGATCAGAATCATAATCATATAAATCGTTAATGGTTGTAGGCCTAATTTACAGTAGGCTATTTATTAAGAAATGAAAAAAAAAAGATTATTATTATTGGGTGGGATATTGTTTATTTGTTTTTATTTATTTATTTATTTATTTTTAAGTCTACTTTTACGATTTAACACAATCAAACCATTGCAGAAATGTTCTAACCAACAGGCCCATGTTATATACAGTAAAGATACATTTCTTGATAAATAATACTACTAATAATAATAATACTAATACAAATTATATATATATATATATATATATATATATATATATATATATATATATATATATATATCGCCAAAACTGAACTGTAAAAATACTTTGAAAGCAAATTACACCTAAGAGAGATGACCTTAATGATTTTTAAAAAATGATTCTTAGTTTAAATGTTAGAACATTCTAAATGAATAGGACATAGGGGGGATAACTGGGAATAGAATACAGCCAGGAACTATGTTTCTAACTACAGCTCTTGAGGTGTAGTTGCAAGCGTACAAGTTTGCGATGCAGTTTGTGAATGTTCGTTGGAACGACGGATTTGAGAAATGCATAAACTAACTATGTTTGTAACGACGGAACTTGCGACCTTAGTTGGCTAACAATGGTTTTCGCAAATTCACCCCAGATCCATTTATTACAACTATGTGCTTGAGATCTGTAAAATAAGGCCTTATTCTCACAATTCTAACTTTATATCTCTCTTGCGTACAATTCTGAGACCAAAATATTTTCAGTGCTGCAGTTTATATCTCAATTGTTAAATTTGTAACACGCAATTGTGAGAAAAAAAAAGTCAGAATTGCATGATTAAATGTCCCAAACACCTTTTTATTTTTATTCACTGGTAAAAACAAACTTTCATAGGGCACATTTAGGTCTGTTAGATCTACTCATGCATTTATGCTTCCCTCCCGTCTTTGTTTCTTTCCTTCTTTCTCTCCCTACCTGCCCACCGCTCTCTTTGTCAGTCTGGAGCTCAACCCTATAGTGGGCACAGCAACAGGTGCCACAGACAGGAGATATCGAAGCTTCTCTCCCTCATTCCCCTCTCTCTCTCCCTTTTCCTCATCCTCCCCATCCTCCTCCTCCTCCTCCTCCTCCTCCTCTTTCCAGGAAGTGCTCTCCATCTCTGTCACACCACCAAATGTCACAAAACGCCGGCGTTCACCGGAGGAATGATCCCAGCAACCAGCCGGATCATTCTTGGCAAACTTCGTCTTGGAGGCGACAGAGAGGCAGCCTTTCTCAAGACACGTCTGACATAGCGGGACAATAGGCTCATCGCTGTTCACACGCACACACATACATAGAGAAGAGAAGCATTAAAGGAGCAGAGGTGAAGAGCAAAATATACCAATGAAGAAAGACTGCATCAGTCAGACAGTCACATCAATGATGAATGAATAAGAGAATTGTAGTCTGTGTGAAAGCCAAATAAAAAATGCTGATGCAAGCAAAGCCTTTTTAAAAAATATAAAAGAAGAATGAGTATACTTTGGAAATAGCATATTTAAAAAGCATAGATAAATTTTGGCATTTTACAATTGAATTTTTAGCTATTTTGTTTGTATAGTTTGTATAATTATTTTGAATAAGAAAATAGAATAATGTAATATCTAAAAAATAAATCTTTATTTGATATCTAAAGAATACTTTAAAGGACACTTATGATAAAAAAAATCTACTTTTTGAAGCTGTTTGGGCTTTTTTAAAAATTTGTGACTGTGTGTGACTCATCATTTCAGAAAGGCTTGAATGAACTCAAACTCATCAAATAAACTTACTTTGTATGTATTTTTGACTCATGACTTCAGCTTCACTGACAACTGTTTATCTGAGGTAATGCATGAGAAGCAGACACGCATGTAGGAACGGTGGGCGGAGAGAAGCAGCTCATTTGCATTTAAAGCCAAAGGCTACAAAACAGCTACATAGTCTATAGACACTTAATGGACAGATTCTCCATTGTTTAATAAATAATTTGATGGGTATTTTGAGCTTAAACTTTACAGATATATTATAGAGTAGGCACGGGCTGGTATAACACTCTGACGGTATGATAACCTTGGATGAAAATATCACAGTTTTTTTACGGTATATTTTCTCACTGCTCTTAAATATATTCTTTTTAAATGTCTGGATAAAAAAAAAACTTTTTTCCTCTTTGAAAACAATATATTTTGTTTTGAGAAACATTTAATACATTAAGGAACAATAAACATGTAATAATTCAAATAAATCACTGACTTTTGCTGTCTTCATTAGTTTCAAAAACAGATTTCTTATAATTTAAAACGGCATCTTTGAATATCTTTTCTGCTAGAGATACTGTTGTCATAAAAAACGAAAAGAAAAAAAAAACTACGAAAAAAAAACATAAATAAAAAATCGTACATATACCTTAGGAACGGTATAGTAGAAAATTTTGGCAGTTTTAAAACCTTGACTTCTCCAAACCACAGTATACTTTGAATGAAAAAATCATCTTGTAAAAGAGATAAAATAGGTGCCCGTTAAACACAAACATTTAAAATGCTCTCTCATTGACGGTCACTGTAACAAATATCAAAGCTATATTATTGTATTTATGTTACTTTAAACTATTTTTACTGGAATTATTCTTAATAAACTTTTATTGTAAATATACTTTAGATCTCTATTCACATTGTATTGTAAAGTTTGAAATGTATTCATTTTTTCCTAGACCTTAAAATACAGACAGTTGAAGTCAGAATTATAAGTGCTTCTGAATTATAAGCCCCCATGTATATTTTTACCCCCAATTTTAGTTTAACAGAAAGAAGTTTTTGTCAACACATTTCCAAACCTAATAATTTGTTCTGTAGACAATGCAAAAAATTGTTTAAAAAGGCTAATAATATTGACCCTAAATAGTTTTTTAAAAAATGTAGCCAAAATAAAACAAATAAGACTTTCTCCAGAAGAAAAAATATTATAGGAAATACTGTGAAAAAATTCTTGCTCTGTTAAACATTTTTTGGGAAATATTTGAAAAAGAAAAAAGTAATAAAAAAATAATTTAGACTTTAACTGTAAATTAAAAAATATTTTTATAAATAAATGATGAAATAAATAATATTTTCAATTTCATAAATATATATTATCAAGCCTTCCAATTCCAAAATATATTTAGCATAAATATTTAAGATATTTTACCCCCTTTTTTTGTAGTAGTTTTATGCATGTGGTCTTAATCTCCTTCATTCTTTGTGAGCATCTCCTGGCTTCAATAGTTGCCTTGGTGAGGTTTGTTTGCTAGAGAGGGGCTTCCCTTGGCAAACACTATTGGATTCTAACAAAGGCCGGCTTTAAAAAACATCACCACAACAGCGTAACAAGACAGAGCCCTCTTACACAGCTCTCAAGTCACTCACAGACCACGTTTCTTGGCTGTAAGCTTCAACTGATTTAAATATACTATTTAGGCTCAAACAGTGCCCTAACCAGACGCAGTAGTTTTTAGTGACAAGTAATTTGTTTGTCTAATCTAAACTGACAGCTGAAAAATAAACAATGACAGCCAATCAGAACACACAATATTTGAAAAACACACCCTTATACTAAAACATTAAAGCAGATGTACATTTTTGTAGAGTGTTGAAATATTAAGTGTGATACTGCCACAACAAGCAAATCTAAGTGGAAAATAAAATGAATAAATTAAAATAAATAACAAAAGTCTTTTTTCATGTACAATACCACAATTATACAATTAATACCACTGATAAAGTACACTACGGTTCAGTAAGAATTGTGATGGTTTTGGAACAACAAAGATACACTCATTTAAATGTAGCAAATCAATCGATTTTTTATGCAGATTTTTACAATGTTTAACAAAACTAGCAAATATTTAATGAAATGTAAAAATTACTGTAATGGCTTCGAAAGTAAATTAATACTGTGATGTCTTTACTGTCACTTTTGAACAATGAAAAAATGGGCTCTTGCTAACCACTTGAAATGACTCACTTTCTATGCGATCAAAATTTCAAAGAGACATTAAATCCCCCCTTTAACTGTTTGCCCATCAATCTTAACTCTCTCAATGATGACGCTAAAGTCCACTGTGATTTAAATGAAAAATGACTCAAATGACACCTTTTGAAAACACAACTGCAGAATGTGAAAAAAAGAGCGAAGCGGAGAGACCGTAAGAAGCAATAAAATAAATAAATAAAATTAAGTAAGAGCGGAAAAACAGATTTTATTTACAATTTGGAAAACTAAGAATTCTCCAAGCAAAGGCACAGGACATCAACATGACATCTGATTAACGTTGTACCCCAACATCGTGGGGACGCTGCATTTTGTTTGGAAATGAAAATCGGATTGGCGACAGAACTCAATGTCATGCTGATGTCAATGTCCAACGTCCAACCTAAAATCAACCAAATAGCAACGTCTAATGATGTTACAGTTTGACGTTGTGTGGACATTATGACCGTGACGTCTATCAGATGTTGGATTTTGGTTGCTATACCTGATGAATAAATGTCAGTATTTAACATCAATATGACATTTTAAGATTGGATTTTGTTCGCTTTCCAACACAATCGTTGCTGGACGTCAAAATAGCATTGTCTTTAGATGCTGATTAGACTTCGAATTTTGGTCACCTGACGTCCTGATATAAGTCTAACCTAATATTAACGTCTTATAACATTGCGCGCCTGCTGGGCTGGTTTCAGTTTTGTGCTATGTTAATTTGAATGCTTTTTAGTTTTTGATTACATTGATTATCTTTTGATACATGACCTCGTTTCTTATTCTACTTCTAGTTAGTTTTGAATTTTATATTTGTATTACATCTTTTGATTTACACTTATTATTTTTTAAACTGTGACGGCAATATGATTGGTGGAAATTATAATTAAAGCACATACAATTTAGGTAAATAAACAGCTGAAACTTCTAAACTTCTTCTAAAGTGTTTGGTTGAGTCAAGCTAAGTCACAGGTTAGAGGTAAAGGTCAAGCACCTGCTGTCTGTACTCATCTTGAGCTTCTGCCATTTCTCCAGATCTGTCTGAGTGATGGTTGTTTGAGCCAATGACTGCCGAGGCTCCTTCTGTAGGAGGGACCCGCTCTGGCTCCGCCTCCTGGCCAGGTCATCTGTCTTTACATTGGGCGTCATCACCCTTTCCCCTTCCTCTCTGTTTGCACTCTCTTCGTTCTCCTGCTCACTTTGTTTCTCAGGGGTCAGGAAGGGGTTTTCCTTGCGAGTTATAATTGACACTTCAGCAGGGGCGGAGTCAGACTCACTGTAGATCAGTATGAAGGATACACTGAGCTTAGCAGGAGAAATTTCATTCACTTCTTGCCATGCGTGCAAATAACAAAGCAAATTCGATTTAATATTAAATGTACCCTAATGTTCAAAAGTTTGGGATCGGTAAACATTTTAAAATGTTTTTTCTATATAAAGTCTCACCTATACAACACTCCAAAAATAACTTTTGCAGCTTGTTCCTTTATAAAATGAGTTGAAACAAGAAAATTCTTATGTTTTTTGGGGGGGCAAAGCTTAATTGTTTCATTCAATCTATTTAAATTTGTAAAAATTATTATGCTAACTTAATAGATTTGTGTTGGGACAGCATGAAAATATTCTCTGGGACCCAGCATTTTTACAGCAAAGACTGTAATCATGTAATCAACAATATAATAAAAACAGTAATATGGTGAAATATAATGTAAGTTTAAAATAAATGATTCATACCTGTATATATTTTTATATGTAATTTATTCTTGATTTAAAGCTGAGTTTGATCCTTCATCACATGATCCTTCAGAAATCATTTTTGTCATATTTTTGTAGAATATTTTTATTTTCAGGACTCTTTAATGCATAATTAAAAAAAAAATCTTAATGTTTGGTTATACAACCTCAAATCAGAAAAAGTTGTGACAGGAGCAATTTAGGGCTTTAGTAATCAGGTAAATTGGTTAAATAATAATGATTTAAAACAAGTGATGTCAACAGATGATTGTAATTATGATTTGGTACAAAAGCAGCATCCAAGAAAGGTCTAGTCCTTCAGGAGCAAAGATGGGCTGAGAGTCACCAGTTTGCCAACAAAAACGTAGGAAAATTATTGAAATGTTTAAAAGCAATGTTCCATAAAGAAAGATTGGAAAACATTTGGATATTTCACCTTCAACAGTGCATAACATCATTAAAAGATTTAGAGAATCTGAAGGAACTTCAGTGCGTAAAAGACAGGGGCGCAAGCCTAAGCGGAACAAGAGTGATCTCTATCCCTCAGGCGGCACTGCATCAAGAATCATCATTCATCTATAAACGATATCACCACATGGGCTTAGGACTACTTTGGCAAACCTTTGTCAAGTAACAAAATACGTGGTTACATCCACAAATGCTAGTTAAAACTGTACTGTGGCAAAAGGAAGCCCTATGTTAACAGTGTCCAAAAGCAACATCAACTTCTCAAAGGCATCTGGGATGGACCATCACACAGTATGAACAAATACTGTGGTCAGAAGAATCATTTTTTCAGGTATTTTTTTGGGGAGAAATGGATGCCGTGTGCTCTGAATAAAAGAAGAAAAGGATCATCCTAACTGTTGCCAGCAACAAGTCCAAAAGTCAGGGTCTGTCATAGTATGGGGTTGTGTTAGTGCACTTGGCAAAGGCCCATGAAAATTTCAACAAGAAAATGCAAAACCACATTCTGCACACATTACAAAGTCCTGGCTGTGGAGGAAGTGGATACAGGTACTTGACTGGCCTGCCTGCAGTCCCGACTTGTCTCCAATAAAAATGTGTGGTGAATATTAAAGAGCAAAATGTGACATTAAAATCCATGTACTGTTGCCCACCTTTACTTGTTTGGAGAAAGAATGAGACAAAATTACACCTGAAACACTTCATCCATTGGTGTCTTCGGTCGCTAAACGTCTTTTAAGTGTTGTGAAAAGGAATGGCAACATTACAAGTGGTAAATGCCTTACTGTTTCAACTTTTTTTGAAATGTGTTGCAAGAACCACAAATGGAACATGTGCTTATTTACAAAAAATAAAATAAAAAATCACGAGAAACTATTAAATTAAATAATATTGTTTGTTTTGTCTGCAATAAAATGCAAGTCAATTTAAATTTCCAAATTTTAACGTTTTCCATATGGTCAAAACTTGTTCTGATTTGGGGTTGTCCTTTAAATGGTAATATATCATGGTTTCTACAAATATATAAGGCAACACAACAGTTTTCATCTTTGACAATAATTTCTGAATTATTGAATCATGTGATATTGATGATGTTGAAAATTTAGGCTTAAATCTCAGGAATAAAATGCATTTTGAAATATATTCACTGGAATAACAGATATCTATTCCTGTTATTTGATTTTATTTTTATTTTGGTGTTGGGGTTCTTATCAACTAAATGTAACTTTATTGAGAAGAGCCTTTTAATTTTTTTAATGACAATGTACAAACATATTAATATTTAAATTAAATACATATAATGAAAGCCTACTTCAAAGTCAGTTTTCTGTAGGGCTTAAGTGTTCAAGTGTTTGTTTTGAGGCACCTGCTGTCTGTACTCATCTTGAGCTTCTGCCATTTCTCCAGATCTGACTGAGTGATGGTTGTTTGAGCCAATGACTGTCGAGGCTCCTTCAGTGGGAGGGACCCGCTCTGGCTCCGCCTCCTGGCCAGGTCATCTGCCTTTACATTGGGTGTCGTCACCCTCTCCCCTTCCTCTCTGCTTGCCCCCTCTACAGTCTCCTGCTCACTTTGTTTCTCAGGGGTTAGGAAGGGGTTTTCCTTGCGAGTTATGATTGACACTTCAGCAGGGGCGGAGTCAGACTCACTGTAGATCAGTATGAAGGATACACTGAGCTTAGCAGGAGAAATTTCATTCACTTTTTGCCATGCGTGCAAATAACAAAGCAATTTCGATTTAATATTAAATGTACACTAATGTTTAAAAGTTTAGGTTCGGTAAACATTTAAAAATGTTTTTTTCAGTAAGTCTCATTCAAAAAATCACTTTCGCTGCTTGTTCAAACCATATATTTAAAATGAGTTGAAAGAACTCAATTCTTAAGACTTTTGTGTGCACAAATTAATTATTATATGTTCAATCTACTTAAATTGGTAAAAACAATTAAGCTAACTTAATAGATTTTTGTTGGGACAACATGAAAGAATTGTGTGGGACTCAACGGGTATTTATGTGATCTACAATATAATAATAATAACAGCAAATTGGTGAAATATAATGTGCGTTTAAAGGATTCCTACTTGTATATATTTTCATATGTAATTTATTCTTAATTCAAAGCTGAATTACATTTTTATTACGTTTCAGCAGAAATCATTCTAATATGCTCATTAATCATGATTTGTATTATTAACATCAATATTGAAAAGATTTTTGTAATATTTCTGTGGAAAAGGAGTCACATTTTAATTTCCAAGAGAATTTGAAAAGAAAAAATGTTAATGTTACTTAATGTTTGATTATACTTTTAAATGGTAATATATTAAGGTTTCCACAAATGTACAAAGCAGTATAACAGATTTTTTTTTTTTTTTTGCTAGTGGTGAGAGATGGGGGGTTCTTATCAAATAATTTTAGCTTTATTGAGAAGAGCCTTTCATACTTTTGAATGACAATGTAAATACTAGCATATTAATATTTAAATTAAATACAAATAATAGTAGCCTACTCTAAAGGAAAATATTTTGTGGTGAGGGTAGGGGGGGTTAAGTGTTTAAGTGTTTAAATGATTAAGTGTTTGTATTGAGGCACCTGCTCTCTGTATTCATCTTCAGTCTCTGCCATGTCTCCAGGTCTGACTGAGTGATAGAAGTCTGGACCAGTGACTGGTAAGGATCTTTGGGAATGCGTGGCCTTCCCCCAGTCCGTCTCCGTGCCAGATCATCTTTGTGTGGGTTTGGGATGACTGTCTTCCCCTCTTCCTCTCTTTCATCTTCCTCATCTCCCTCTTTTGCCCTGTCTTTTTCTAGACTCAGGAAAGGATTGTCCTTTCGAGTTATGATTGGCACCTCAGGTGAGGCGGACTCAGTCTGACTGTGGTAGAACATTGTAACATGTAAAAAATACAAAATCTAGAATTTTACGAAATACAAAGAATGCAGCCATACTAATACTGATCTTATGAATGGCATCTAATACATTATGGAGGCAAACTTGTAAGAAGTCTTACTTAAAAGTTCAAAACTGACCGTCAACTTGATATAATTGCACAATGTTTCATTGGAATGGATTAAAATTGTTGATCTAGAGTGTACAGTATTTATAATAATTAGCTAACTATTGTTGCAAATTTTCTTATTTCATCAATTCCATCCTTAATTCCGTTGTTTTTCGTTTCTCTTAATCAAAGGTAAAGCCAGAAATCACACCAGGACCGCAAAGTTAAATGACTGGAACTATAGCTTGCTTTCTGTGGATAAGAAGGGACACTAGTGATTATCTGACATTTTAATGGGGTAAAACTTACTGATGTGCAATGAAGACATCATTAGATGCTCATGCGCAAACACATGCAGCAGACACACCAGCATACAATAGGCTACTACAGCAGTGGCTCTCATCCATCCACCACAATCTGTCTTTATATTTCAGACTTTGTTTTTTATAAAGTGCTCTGTGCTCCAGGACAAAGTGGATTGATTTGTGTGATGCCATTCTCATTTGCGGAAATGATGGAACAGACAAAATAATACAAATACATTATGCTAACTTCAGTCAACTTTTTTTTTCTTGCATTGCATTTTTCTATTTTTGTTTACATTGTGAGGATTTGCAGCATTTTTTAAATTTGTGTTTACATACTGAGGATTTTCAGCGATTAAGATGTTTACTTAATTTGGTGATTTTTTTTCTATTTGCATGTGCTTTCTCTTCTCAGCCACCATACTTTTGTACCTAAAGTGTCCATATTAGTACCTAAGGAGTACATATTTTTACCTTTAAAACCATCAGGTACTGCTAGAGGTTTTGTACCTTTATTTATGCGAGTATTGTATGAATGACATGTCTAACACGCAAACAAACAAAAAAGATTAGTAAAATTAAGCCTGTTCCGTATTCTTCAGTAATACATATTCGAATAATGGAAGTATCTATTTGCTCAAATGAACAGATATATCCCACACACAAACAAAACATGCATTCACACAAAAACATACAAACACACAGAATGTATTCTCATCACTGCCCTAAAACTTTATGAAGCAACATGATATTTCTCAGTAGCGAGGTAGTATATTTGCTGCCCTTAAAGAAGATAAACCTAGTTCTGCTTTTGTCAGAGACTGCATAACACTGGGTATGTTTACATGGACACCAATAATCTGTTTTAAATACGAATAAGACAATTCTCTGATTAAGAGAGGTAACCATGTAAACAGTGCTTTTTGATTATTTAATCAGATTAAGGTCATAATCGAATTAAACAAGAGATGGGATTATGACATATGGAATGTGCTGATATTAATCGCATTACTGAAGTGCAGTACAGACATGTTAACGCCTTAATCAAACTATAACCTTCATGTGGAACTTTTCACCGGATTTTGTGACAAGACAGTCGATATACACATGCCTGTTTGACACTATTCTCTGCACCTACAGAGACAGTGAAGGACCACAGACACCTGCATCATGAAATATGGAGTTTTTTCTCCATACGTTGTGTGTGGTATCAAATTCCATTAAAACAACACAGTTGTTGTTGCATCCAATATCTCATTTGTCACGAGGGCCAAGCATGAAATGTTCCTGAATGAAAGTGAAAGTGCCAAACTGCAGTTTAAGTCAACAACTTAAAAATGAAACACCTGAAATTACATGAATCTCCAGAGGAAATGCGGATAGCATGATGACGCAATAAAGTTAAACGAATTATGTGCTACAAAATGGAAACGGGATCAGGAAAAGAACATTTTAAAAAGCAACTCATATACACCTTAATCGTATCATTGTCTTAATCAGATTAAGGCAAAACATTTGATTACTGATGTCCATGTAAATGTAGAGATGCACAGGCTCAGGTAATTCCCACTCTTAATCTGTATATAATGCAAAATAAAAATGTGAAGTCCTCAAATGCCATGCTTGTTATTTACAGAAATCTCAAATAAAAGTAAAAGTTCACCCAAAATTGAAAACTCTGTCATCATTTACTCATCTTGTTCCTCACCTGTTTGAATTTCTTCCTACTTTTGAACGCAAAAAAAAAAACATATTTTGAAAAAAGGTGAAAACCTGTAACCATTGACTTTGATCGTGTTTGTTTTTTCTACTATGGAAGTCAATGGCTACTGGGTTTCAGCTTTCTTAAAATATCTTCTTTTAAATTCAACTGAATAAAGAAACTCATATAAGTTTTGAACTACTTGAGGGTGAGTATATACATTTTCATTTTTGGGTGGACGATCAATTACATTTTTTAAACCAATTGATTAGTGAATGTCAACGATTTGGTGTTTCTCCAAAACAAAGATGCAGCACACAACTGCAAACAGCATCACTAACAGCACTGCAAAAAAAAGCATTGAAGGATGGAGGACAAAGTTTAAAAATGAACTAAAAAATGAAAGCCAGATGAGTCTAAATTAAAGCATACTAAGTCAGAAGAAGCAGAATTACTGCGGTCAGTCAAGTTTCAGTCAGAATCAAATTTTGGGAAAATACTATCAAAAAGAGAAGAAAGAAAGCTAAGCTTGAAAGTTTTACTAGATCTAGAATCTACAAGACTGAAAAATCTGACTCAAATCTGTACAATAACACCATGTTGGATTTGTCAAGCTAACATACACTCTCATAAATAAAGGTACACAAGCTGTCCCAGGGGTGGTACCTTTTCAAAAGATACACATTTGTACTTTTAGGGTCCATATTTGTACCTCAAAAGCATATATTTGTACCTAATAATTTTAAGAAGTACACTTTTGAACTTTTTATATACTAATATGTATCCTTGATGTATTAATTAGAACCCTTTAGGTACAAATGTGCAGCTTTTAAAAAGGTACCACCCCAGTGACAGCTCTCGTACCTTTATTTCTGGGAGTGTAACTAGAAACTGAACCCATCGCTCTCTATCACAAGCACACCTCCTTTTCTCCAGTTTCTCCTGTTCCATCTTCTCCATCCTCTCCAACACGGCATGTTGGGATGCCATCCTGATTCCCTCCCATTTCTCTCGGTCCTTCCAGCTGCAGGAGCTTGGCAGAAAGTGATGTGCCACACTTGGTTTGAACTGATTCATGCGTGCTCTCCGAGAAGCAAGATCGTCCTTTTGAACATCTGGAACCTTCTGCTCTGCTTCTTCATCTTCCTCTTCCTCATCGGAGTCCCACTGATGTGGAACGGCAGCGCGCATGAAGTCATTGTCACGCCGGAGGATGATGTCGGGTGAAGGGGATTTCGGTTTGCTGGCTTCAGCAGGACTCACGATTGGACTGAGGGGAAAATTTGCCATGATGATATTTAAATATTTCTTTAGAAATATAGAGTGCAACACTGCCCATCTACTTCCAGTTTTCGTAAGTAGTTTTTCCATTCATTTTCCCCATATAGAAATAGTGGAAGTTTCTAAACACTAAATAGCTTAAAATATGTGAAAAGCTGAAGCTGATTTGAATAAACTTTAAAAACACAGCCTGTTTTAGATTTAGAAATCATCTAAATATGTCTTTATGTTGGTATTTTAGGGTTCTCTAATCAAAAACAGCAGTCAATTCTGTTAACAATCATACATTCATTTACTGATTTATCAGGGGTCACCATAGCAGAATGAACCGCCAACTATTCCAGCATGTGTTTTACACAGTGGATGCCCTTCCAGCCACAACCCAGTAATGGAAAACCCATACATTTTCTCATTCACACACACAATCATACACTATAAGCAATTTAGTTTATTCAATTCATTTATAGCGCATGTCTTTGGAATGTGGGAGAAACCAGAGCTTAACAATAATAATTTACCAATATTTATTTAAAATACTGTATTATTTTAAAGGAACATTTATATTTAAACAGCAAAAGTAAGTCCGAGCCAATTGAAAAGTTTGGAAAAAATATTAAAAAACCTTTTTTGACATGAATATTTCTTAAAACTGCATCAATAATTGTGAGTTTATTTACAATAAATGCTATTTTTTTTAAATTTGTATTAAACATTTTTCTAAAAAAATATATAAATTTGGGTGTACTAGTTTTTTAGACCGTTATCGTAAGTTGTTTTGTTGGATACGCTCCAGATTTCTTTTCAGGACAGACTAATCTAATGTATATGCACAAATACAATATTGTAAAGCTCCCTTCTGAAAATATGAATTTAAAGGAGATTTGTTAAAAGTGTACTTATATATGCTGAGCACTGTATTGGTTTTTGCTATAAAGGGTCATTTGTGTCTTTACATGAATATAATTTAAGTATAGTTGTCTTTTTTAACAGAACATTATAAAAGAAATTAACCAATTTAGAAATAATCAGCATTAATAAAATTGTAACAAAGAATATAACTTATTTATGAATATAAATATATAAAAAATGGTTTTGCACCTGGTAAAAGCTGGTCTGTCTCTAAAAGTTTTTATGTACAAAAACAATTCCCACACACAGAAAAATGAAAGGAATCTCTACTCCGTTAAACCCAACTGTTGCTGTTGCACTCTATACAGAGAGATGTTAGCGCACCCAAGAGCTGACGCAGACATTTAGCCTTCAGGACAAGTCAAGTTAGCATGACTAGCATAATTTGCTCAACCCAGTAAAACACACACATATTACTCCTTCCAACCAGCACAAACCGATTCAGACTACTCAAAAAATCCAAAAACATTCAGATCATTCACAGGCTCACTAAAAAAAGTCAGTAATACTTTGAATGGCATCCAACTAAAAACATTAGCCAGGCAGTACTACAGTCAAAGCTAATTCACAATTGTGTCACTCCATGCTATAATGCAGAACAAAACCAAATATAAAATCCACACAGCCTGGGATTAGAACTCAACTCAACTCAACACAAGCATTTGGTGGTTCCCAGCATCTTTAACACAAGCTGTTTTAGTCAGACGCATGCTAAATATATATATTATCATTGCAACCGCAGACCTGTTGTATCGAACAGCGGCGGGTAACACTTTAATTCCCGCTTTTTCCAGCTTCCTCATTTTCTTAAGCTCCGCCTCATCAAGCTCCGCCCCTTTCTCAACCATCCAGGTGAAATGTTTCTGGACTTTTTTTTGAGACACGACAGCCCCTTCTTTTAACACTTCTACACACTCTTGTCTGTGGGGATCAATGGGAAATTTTAGAGCTCTCATGGACACACTTGTAGACAATATGAGATGAATCAAACAAACTGGGACACATAAAACTGATCATGCTTTTGTGTACTGATTATTGCTGAGATGTATGGCGAGTGTCAGCCACAGATGAGTGGCTTCCAGCCAGTTCCCTGAAAAAAAAAACACAAACACTGTCTTTCACCTCAGCAGTGTTTACCTGAGGGGTCGTTCTCCTCCCACTGGAGATGTCGAGTTGCTCACACTCCTCCGGTCTTCCTCCCTGTCGCTCCTCCTCTTCCTCAGTGGGGCAGGAAGGTAGTTAGTCTGGTTGCTCTTGTTCGGCAGATACTGGTTGAAGGGTAAAGCGGCACGAGGCTCTTTGTAGGATACACGACGGGCAGACATGTCATCCTTACGCACATCTGGCAACTTCCTATCAGCTTCAGAGTCTGTAAGAAAGAAATAATAGCATTTTATAACACTTGACATGCGTAACTCTGTGTCATTGTAAACTCTGAAGCCATGCTGATACCAGAATAAAGATATTCATGTTTCTGAAGCTGAATTATTAATTACTTCTGACATGTTTCCACTGTCACTGACTACATATAAATAGGCCATCTTTATGGGGTAAATCCACAGCCAGTGTTTTTCAGTTAGCAATAAACTTCCAGTCAAAGGTTAATGTGACTATTTTTTTTATTTTATAAGATTTCTTTTACAGCATCGATGTTGTATTGTAATTAAAATACAATCAGTTAAATAGACTTGCGTATTCATTTAGTTATTCAAGCATTAAATGAGATGAAAGACTGTGTAAACACTATGTTAGCACCGTCAGTAGCAGCAGACTATTTCAGAAACTCTATTGAAAATACTGGGGTAAAATTATTTTTCCATATTTTAAAGACATGGTGATGAAAATGGAATTTAATGCAATGGAATTTAATTACAGTTCTTGTCCAATTTAAGATCCACTTTATATCATATATTAATCAGGCAGTGACGATCACTGATGGTTTAGGACATTAGATCTCCAAAGTGGAGATTTTGTAATGGTAAGACAGTTCACCGAAAGTGGCTGACTGACTCAAAATAAAAATTCTTTGTGTATACAGCCCATTGACTAGGGCTGTATGATAAATCAAAAATTAAAATCAAAATTTAGCAAAAGAGGCGACACTTTTTTGATCAATAGTAAATGTCCTCCGAAGGCCAGAGGATGATCTCGTGCAGGAACTGCAAACATGCGAGAAAAAAGAAAACCAGAAAATCAAACAAAATTTACCTCATTTTTTATGATTCCATAGGACTAATAATCGAATGAGTATGGAATTGTTTTATAGAAGGATTTTTTTCAAGCGCTCAACTTAAATTATCAAGTGAGTTTGAAAAACCAATCTTATTAAACAGTAATTTTCCCATACTTTCAGATGTAGCAGCGACAGATCGCTGATAAACTGCTGTCAAAATGCAGAATGATTATTTTAGATTTTAGAAATTGTACTAATTAAATCATCTGAGATTTTTGCATAGCCAGTTAGTGTAGTATACACTGCTCCATCTTAAAGTATTTACTGTAAATTAACAGCTAAATACACAACTGGCTTTACTGACAAAGTGCACATGAGAGGGTCTTTGATTAATTGTGCATTTCTAAATAGCACACACAACGATTTTCATTCTGCTTCCATTTATTCACACTCATGTTGTCCTCGCCAATGCAAACATTTGCCAATCTGTGTTTATATATAATAGGGCGATTTAATTGGCGGCCCGTGGGCCGAACCCGGCCCCCAAGGCAATTCGTTATGGCCCTCCAATTAGTGTGACCAAGAAATCAAAAATAAATTTAGTTCAGTCGAAAAACGGCCGCTATTGTTATGAAGTGACATGTGTCTGTTTAATACAGGGCGAGCTGCAGTTGAACCCTACGCAGAGAGTGAGTCACCTGAAGTTGAGGGCGTACTCGTTAGACGATATGTAATGACAATATGTTAGACAAATTATTATTAAAATGATTATGTATGTATGTATGAATGCAGATGATAACAACAGTTATCTAAATTCTTGCCTAATATAAAGCTTAAATTTACATTAGACATGATAACCATGAAACCATGATTAATCTTTAGACTATATAATCATACAACCAAAATCTATAATTGTTGCATCCATAATTGTTGTGCAGTTTAAAACAAAACATATGAATGTGTTTGAATGTAGAAAAAGCCTACTAAATCAATGCACTGCTTTTGTTGTGCTTTGAAATACATTATTTGAATATATTTGTAAAAACAAAAAGTCAAATTGTACAATGCCATGATATTATGTAAATTCAAAATATAATATATTAACATTTTTATGAAGAAAAATACAACATGGGTGTCTTAAGGAACAAAAATACTGCATATGAGCTCTTATATGCAGTTATGTCATCACTCCTCCTGCAAGTGCAAGTCATATCTCTCCGGCCCTGTGTTTGGGATGCTTTTCATGAACTGGCCCCCATTGAATAGCCCTGGTATTTCAGTATATAAGTTGTAAATCATATAAAGTCATTGTGTCTTTTCAGAACACGTGGTGTGTGATTAGACCGCTCGTCTGATTATTTTTATGATGCCTTTTTGTTTTGTTTTTTTGTTTTTTGGATGGTTTGAAAGATTTAGTGTAATGGAAATTCAAGCTTTTAGCTTTTTGAATCTAAGCTTTTAAAAATATCTTTCTTCCATTAAACACAAAACATGATATTCGGAAGATCATTTGCTAAAAAACAGCCCTTGACTTCCATAGTAGGAACAAAAACTATACTATGGATGTCAATGGCTGCTTTTTTCCAACATTTTTCAGTGTATCTTCAACAGAAGAAAAAAACTCAAACAGGTTTAAAACAAGTGTAAGATGAGTAAACAATGACAGAACATTTAGTTTTGGAGTGAACTATCCCTCTAAATTTTTTTTATAACAAATCATATGATTTACATTCATATATATATATATATATATATATATATATATATATATATATATATATATATAATACTTTTCATCTTGCAATATCTCTATATAATGATGAATCGTTACAACCTTTCTATCAAGTTTATACTGAATGAAAATATCATAAATATAACAATGAAAGCTCACTCCTCAACAGTTCTTGTGCCTTCAGTTACAACTTGACATTTCCCCTTCAAGTGCTCAAACATATTCCTTTTGCACACATGGCATTTAAAGCAAGCATTACATATGAGCCAACTTTAAATGCTGCCATGTGACCTTGATCCAGATCAGGGACGACATGAATGGAACAGCTCAGTACATTTGAGTGCAAATGTTAAAGCTTAGCTAAATATCTTACATCAGGGTCAGCAATCTTTGGCAAACTATATCAATTCATCTGGTGTAGATTTTGTTTAAATTATCAGCATGCCAAAAACAACATTTGCGGTAATGGTTTCCTGTAGTCACACATTCTGCCTTATTTAGTAATAGGTTTTAATGAAATATAAATATTTGGCTCAAGATTTGTTATATAAGGAAAAAAATATTCAAACATGATTACTTGGATTTACTATACATTTATTTATTTGTTTGGGCTGAATTTAAACAAACAAATTAAGCTGAACATTACTAAATTTAATTTGTTTGTTTAAATCTAACCCAAATAAATTGTTTGCTGCTTATTTAAACTACTTAATTGAAATAAGTTGAAGCAACACAATTCTTAAGGTTTTTGGAATAACTTAAGTGTTTTATTTTCAATCCACTTAAATTTGTAAAAAAATAAATAAATTGAATTGTGTTGTAACAACATGAAAACATTTTGTGAAACCCAGCATTTTTTAGTGTAGTTAACAAGACAATTTTTTTTATTATTATTTAAATTAGTATAAAAATTTTAGATTTACATATATAAACTTTAAGTAACAAAATAAACAAATGTAAGTTTTAAACAGATAATTAACAGATTTGCCTTAGGTTCACTCGAAAAATGACTGCTTGTTGCTTGTTTAAACTAGTTATTTAAAATTAGTTGAAACAACATAATTCTGATTAATAAAGGGACTAAGCTGGAAAGAAAATGAATGAATAAATGAATAAACACAAAACTGTTTGCTGGGAACTGAACAGATTTGTGTTGGGACAACATGAAGGAATTGTGTGGAACCCAGCATTTTTTTACAGTGTTTGTATGTCATAAGTTACTTGTGTTGTCAAAATTAGCAAGGGCCAGTTTTTCAGTCATAAACTTTAAAAAAAAAATGACTGGTCAACCTGCCAAATAATCTTATTTTATTATGATAAAAGTCTAATTAAACCTAAAATTAAAAATATTTTGTGATTGAAAGTTTAAAATGGCACCTAGTGTCAGACTTTTGGCTTATCTTTAAAGCAAAAAGCTCACACACACATACAATTTATTGTTTAGAAGCTTTTGGGACCTTTATGTCTTTTCGGCCCCTGTCTTCAATCTGTCCGTGTCTGGATTGAGTAATGAAATGCAGCTCATGTGGACGCTCTCATGCTGAGACGAGTGTGTGTGAATGTCTGGTCGGCACAACAGCTGCACTCTCACCCCCCCACCGCACATATGTGGAAATGGAGGAATCTGCTGTCTGAATCCAGAGTTTGCGATTGTGTGCTGAGTGTGTTTTTACCATCTGCTGCTCACACATAAGGTTTTGCTGACCAGACAGACATGGAGTTTAACATAAAAAAAAACAAAAAAAAAAACATGTTCAAACCATATTTACAATTTAATGTATTATGTAGTAATTAGTACTGGTAGAGGGGCGACGCTGTGGTGCAGCAAGAAGGTCGCGCTGGTTCAAGCCTCGGCTGGGTCAGTTGGCCTTTCTTGCTGAATCACAAACACCAATATTTTACCAAATTTATTAAAAAACACAAATTTTATTAGTCATAGTTATAGATATTAGTCATGGATATATATATATCAGCTCGCCCAAATGGCTCTGCAGCGAGCACCACTTGAAAAATTCACAGCATTTCAGAACAAAATGTGAGATTTGAGTAAATGCTAGTAAAAATGTGTTTGCTCGATTTTGCGATAAATGCAGCATTAGCAAAATCCTGGAGGGACAGCAAAGAACAGAATCTAACCAAAATGATAAACAAAAGAATAAGTCATACCGTCACTGTTGCAGCGAATGACTGTGTCCGGCGATGGTGTGTTCTGTGATCGTGAGCCAAACGAGTCGAGACTGTCGAACGAATCATCACGGCCGTGTCTTGGAGGAGACAGCGAATCAGAGCGCTCCGATTCCCAGCTGTCAATGTAACCACTGTCCCGTATGCTGCGCTTAGGAGAGTCTGACTCGTCATTTACACACTCCTGCACAACCAAACAAAACAAAAAAAGACTATGACAATCTGTTCCACAGACTCTGGGTTCTTGGTATAATCAGATTTACCTTTCGCATCATGGAAAGCAGTCCCTCAAACTCTTTCAGGTCGAGTGTGGGGCCGTTATATGTCGCACAGCTGTTAGCAGCTTTCCCAAGCCAGTATATGGTTATGAGCACCTAAGCATTTATAAAACGCAGGAGAAAATAAATTGAAAATCCCAAACTTGCAGATAAACTGTGTATTTCAGTGTGTGCTTACATTCTTTAGTTTTCTACTGCAGTCAGAGCCCCTACAGCAGAAAGAAAAAAGAGAGAAGACAACTGTTAGCCCTTTCATGCTATAAATGAGCCACATCAAAGTGCCTTTAAGGAAAGTCAGTCCTTTGGGAAGCCATCTTAATTACACCAGACAGCTGTTTTCTATAGAAGCAAGATGTACACTACAATATATTGGCTTGTTATATAATTATAACATTTTTACTAATTTCTTGAGGACACCAAGAATTTATTCATTTGATAAAACATGGTAAAACAGTAATATTGTGAAATACTATTTTAATTAAATTAAAATCCATCCAAGTTGTAATTAATTCCTTTGGGGCGGCACGATGGCTCAGTGGTTAGCACTGTCGTCTCACAGCAAGAAGGTCGCTGGTTCAAGTTCCGGCTGGGCAAGTTGGCATTTCTGTGAGGAGTTTGCATGTTCTCCCCTGTGTTCACGTGAGTTTGCTTTGGGTGCTCCTGTTTCCCCCACAGTCAAAAGACATGTACTATAGGTGAATTGGGTACGCTAAAATTGGCCAAGTGAATGTGAGTGTGTATGGGTGTTTCCCAGAACTGGGTTGCGGCTGGAAGGGCATTCACTGTGTAAAACATGTGCTGGAATAGTTGGCAGTTCATTACGCTGTGGAAACCCCTGATAAATAAGGGACTAAGCCGAAAGAAAATGAATGAATGAATGAATGAATTATTGCTGTTATGGTGAATTTAATGCAGAATTGCATCACTACATAAAACATTTGCAAATCAATGTTTCTATCCAATGTATTCAATAATATGTAACCACTGTAGCTTATTTTTCACCAGAACAAATGCGTGTTGTGATGTTATTTTGAGTTTGGAGGTGGGACATTTAAGATGATATTATTGTGTTCGATGCACTAGTTAGTTATTTAATCACATCATCTGGTGACAAAAGTCAAAGTTAAGTCAAACTTTGTTTATAGACAACTTTAAAAGTGAGCCAAAGTGCTGTACAGAAATATACAACAAAAAAAGCATAATAGTTTATAAAATACATAAATACAAGATATAATATAGCCAAGCTACCTAAAAAGGCATATACATTAAAATAACCTGTAAGATCAGGTGTCAAATGATAACAAAAAAAAAAGCTTTAAGAGCTGTTTTTAATAAAAAACATGGAAGAGGCCTGTCTAATGGGCAGTGGCAAATCATTCCAAAGTCTAGGACCTACCACAGCGAAAGCCAGATCCCCTCTAAGCTTACGTTTTTTTTTTGGCCACATTCGCGAGAGGCTGATCAGCTGGCCTGAGACCATTTAGAGATTTAAAACGCATAAAATAATCTTAAACTGTATTCTAAAATTCACAGGCAATCAATGAAGCAAAGCTAACACAGGGGAAATCTGCTTATATTTGAGAATACCAGTTAACAGGCGTGCTGCAGCATTTTGCACTATTTGCAAATGGGCAATAGCTGACATGCTACTCCCCACATACAGTGCATTACAGTAATCTAACTGAGTGGTCAGGAAAGCATGGATTACTCTCTCAAACTGTTGTTTTGGTATATACTGATTTATTTATGCTAGTTGTCTTAATTGAAAGAAGCTAGATTTAACTACCGCTCTAATCTCAGTCTCTAAAATCACTTTTTTAAGTGCATGGAGAAATTTATTCAGCACATGTGTTACCAACAAAAAAACAAGTTTTGATAAAAAAAATTGTGCTGGCAAAAATGTATTGTTATTAATCGCATACAGAATAAAAGTTTGTTTTTAGATATTTTAAGTGTCATTCATTCATTTAATCGTTCATTTTCTTTACAGTTAAGCCCCTTTATTAATCCAGGGTTGCCACAGCAGAATGAACCGCCAATTTATCCAGCACGTTTTTATGCAGAGGATGCCCTTCCAGCTGCAACCCATCTCTAGGAAACATCCACACACACTCATTTACAACGGAAAATTTAGCCTACCCAATTCACCTGTACCGCATGTCTTTGGACTGTGGGGGACACCAGAGCACCCAGAGGAAACCCACGCGAACGCAGGGAGAACATGCAATCTCCACACAGAAACGTCAACTGACCCAGCCGAGGCTTGAACCACCAACCTTTATGCTGTGAGGCAACAGCACTACCTACTCCGCCACTGCATCGCTGTTTTAAGCATGTGAACTGGATATTTATTATGTATAAATACACACAAGCATGCATATATTTTATTCATTCATTAATTTTCTTTTCGGCTTAGTTCCTTTATTAATCTGGGGTCGCCACAGCGGAATGAACCGCCAACTTATCCAGCTTATGTTTTACGCAGCGGATGCCCTTCCAGCTGCAACCCAACACTTTTAAAACAAAAAACTTTTATTTTGCATGCAATTAATCATGATTACCCTTTTACCGACACAAAAAAACGTTAAATGTCAAAAACTTAATGCCAACTTTTTTTGGTTACATTTTATTTTGTTTAATTCTCATCATTAACAAACCAATAACTATAACTTTAGCCTCAATGAACAAAAAGAAATAATAATAATAACTTGTTGCTCATTTATAATTTATAATAATATATTAGGGTAGTTGTTAGGTTTAGGTACTGGGTAGGGCTAGGGATGTAGAGTAAGATCCTGCAGAATATGTACTTTATAGATACAACCTGCTAAAATTGAGAGTTGGTCAGTGAAGTGCTACTGCTTTTCATGTGCATTGTGTCATTATGTGCATCTGAGTATTTCCACACAGTGATTTTTATGAGATGTCTTAAAATGTGCATAAAATCAGTGCCAAACTGATTGCTATGATTCATCACATTCTTTTTCAGAATATAATCGGTCTGCTACTCATGTATGCACAAGCACACACATATTGCACATACGTTAAGTTTGCTCGTATAGATGTATCTTGCAGGTCTCCAGGATCGAACAGCTGTGACCCCTTCAATCCCACCTCTTCACATCCTCTCAGAAACATTGTCAGATTATCCTGAGGTGAAACAAAACACACACAATACGTATTAATGTATGTTGCAATTATACCTCACAGTTTGTATTTTTGTAAATATTTGAAGAATAAGCAGTTATAGGTCATTTTATAATTTTCATTTTCTTTAATTTCATTTGCAACATGGTACAATACAGTACCATGAATGGTAATACCACGGTTTGTCAAGCTCATTAAAAAAAAGCTTTTATATTTGAGCTTTAACTTATTTAATTCCCTGATTATTTGTATTTATCTTGACAGACACACAGACAAACTGTGACAGTATTGGATTTGTTTGGAGAGAGCACAGTGCGAAGGCTGGCCTGACACAAGCAGGCACAGAACAACACAAACACACACACAACTGAACAGACAAACACACACTAACTGAACTCACCAGTCCTGCGATGGGTGTTGGAAGTCTATTTATCTTTTTCACAAGACCTGGCTTGATTGAACTCAGCAGCCTAAAGAAATCACATGATATGAGAGAGAAATTAATGTTCATTACAATTAGCTTGGTATATTAGAATAATTTCTGAAGGATCACTGAAAACCGAGTAACTTCTGGTGAAAATTCCAGTGAACCACAGCAAAAATAAATTACATTTGTTAATATAATAAAATAGAAAGCAGCTATATTTTATAAGTGTAATAATATTTCACATAATTAAAAATTATTATCGATGCCAAACTTTTAAACAACAGTAAATTTCATGAAATCATATCATGATCACGTCATCAAAATGTATGGTTTTATTCATATAATCAATGCATTATTTTTCCTTTATAAAATAATTTCAGGCTTGACTATAAATAAACTTGCTAATATTTTTTTCAAAATGTGACAATTAACCAGGCTAACACATTTTGTAAGCAAAGTCAACTTATTTCTTTTTACAGTATATCAATAGGATCCATTATGATGATAATGACTTTAAAAGGGTCATTCAGAAGGAACCACATTTATCTTAATCTTAAGTACGACATTATATAATGATCCCAACATCAAAACTCATTGTTTTTTTCATATGTCAATGTTTTATTTTTATTTTATAACTTGTGGAGCTGTGCATCGATGGATTTGCTCTTTAACTTTAACTCTGAAAACTGGACTTTCAATTTACTAGAACGTCTATGTTAAGCTGCTTTGACACAATCTACATTGTAAAAGCGCTATAGAAATAATGATGAATTGAATTCATAACATAAACTTGCTATATAATATATTAGATGTAATTGTAAAATAGCTGTAAAAACAATCACTTATGTGTATTTTTCCTTTATACTTCCATACTGGTGAAAGCAAATTTTCATACTGGCTTCTTATTGTTACACTGCATGTCATCAAAACACATTTAAGCACTTGCCAACAATCTCAAACTCTACAAAAAAAAAAGAAAAAAATAGAAAATAGAATTTACATCCACATCAAGATTAAATTTCAGTAAAACTCACTCGCAAAGCAAAATCCCATTCTCTAGTCCACTTCTGAAGTCCTTATCCCCGAAGCTTCTTCCTGTCACTGCCTGTGATGCAGAAAACAAGACAAAACAATCAATGTTTTGATGAGAAGAATGAAGAGGTAACTGAATGCTAATGTAACCTGTATACTAATAATGAAGTCAAATGAATATAGTAACCTTAAATAAAATATTTCAAAAATAATGACACAGAAGAACCATTTCTGGGTTCTTTAAAGAGCCCTTCAGTAAACCAATAAAAATCTATTTATCCCTATTTTTTCCACTGTAAAAAAAACAAACATATACCAAAAGTATGTAAACATTTATTGGATGTTAGAGTTTCTTCGTGAAAGCATTAATAACAAAAAAGATATTTAGCTTTAAAGGTGCAGTGGGTGATTGTCTTCAAAAATGTTTCTTGTTGTGCTGGTTGAAGGTCTCTTCACATTCCAATAGAAATGATTAAAGTAAATGATGTAAATGTATTTATATGTATTTTTATATTCTGGGTAAGGCATAAGACTTAAAAATGTTCATCCAATTAAAATCTATAAGGCTGATAATTCCCATAATTCTGATAAGTAGCTTAAACTGTCTGTCAGCAAATGTAGATTTGTACATCTGCGCACCCCTGTTCACACAGATCTGCAATTTGCGTGTGCATACATGCCACGTTCATGACATGTGCACACGAGAGAGTGACAGCGGTATAGACAAATGCTGAATCAAAACTTTTTAAAATCCTAAATCGATATTGGAGTGACTTTTGCACACTGGAGGAAAAAGGACACCATGGCTGAAGTATTTCTTTTAGACAGGAAATGTTATGTTTTAAAACTATTTTAGTCATGCAAAGCTTAAGTAGTCTTTGTTTTTACAAATGGGCTATATGCATAGAAGTGTTGTTCAGCAACTGAAATCTCCTGGCAAAAGATTGATGTGACTATTTTCAATTTCAAAAGGCGCCTTTTACAGCATCGATAATGTCGATTTTTATTTAGTTCAACAATGAAACATATTCTGCCTAGCCTGCTTTACTGAGGTGAAGTTACTTTTATATTCACATCACATTTAATTTTTGAACAATGACAACCTGTGACGCACTTGTCTACCATGCTACTCCGAATATTCGGTTTGAAATGGCATGTTAGTATGGCTTAGTTCATTCATTCATTTATTTATTTATTTTCTTGTCGGCTTAGTCCCTTTATTAATCCGGGGTCGCCACAGTAGAATGAACCGCCAACTTATCCAGCAAGTTTTTACGCAGCAGATGCCCTTCCAGCTGCAACCCATCTCTGGGAAACATCCACACACACATTCACACACACACACTCATACACTATGGACAATTTAGCTTACCCAATTCACCTGTACCGCATGTCTTTGGACTGTGGGGGAAACCGGAGCACTCTGAGAAAACCCACGCGAACGCTGGGAGAACATGCAAACTCCACACAGAAACGCCAACTGAGCCGAGGCTCGAACCAGCGACCCAGCGGCCTTCTTGCTGTAAGGCGACAGCACTACCTACTGCGCCACTGCTTCGCCCAGTATGGCTTAGTAGTAAGTGTAATTCCTGCACCCCGCCGTATAGCCATACAGTAATCACTTTAGGAAAAAGCCCTTGAGAGAGTGAGAACAGCGATCCTTGCATGCATGAAATATTGCACATTATGACAAGTTTTGCATTCTACACTACTAAAAATGTGCTCGATATAATCCAGTTTTTCATTCGGAATTGTAGTATTATAAAGTACTATAAAGTTTTCTAACTGGCGAATGACATGATCTAGTGCAGAGGTGCCCAAAGATTTTCCTATAAAGGGCAAAAAAGCAAACTTGATAAAGGGCTGCAAGTCGAATATACACTAAATATATTACATTTGCTATGGATAATTTCCTAATTTGTTCAGTAATATTTAAAAATATCTAGAAAAACGTAACTTAAAATCATATAAACTAATGCAGTATAATTTTTAAGACTTTATAATGAACTTATAGAAACAATCCCATTAATAACACAATAAAGTTCAATGTTGAATACACGAGCTTCTTCTGCCTTTACGTTGATTTGCTTGCAGATGTCTTTTGCATTGTCAAGTGACAGTATTTACATTTTAGAAGTCTCTTTCATTTACAACATTTAATTGAATCATTTAATTTCAGTTGCCTTATTTTATTTTTTTTTGCAGCTCAGCAATAAAACAAAACAAAAGGTTACGTTAAATTTAAAAATGGCAATCTCTGTCAAAGGCAGTTACCCCGACCACCTTCCTATCATTCTCCCTCTCTTTTCAGATGGCATGGTGGGCCAAATCAAAGGTTGCCATGTGCCAACTTTGGTACCATGTGCCTACTTTGGGCATCTCTGATGTAGTGGGTTGTCTGCTGTCATCTTTAAGATGCATGTTCATGATATCAGGTGGCATGGCTTTGGATGGCAGGAGACAGACTGATTTCAAAGATATTATGCATTTTAAGCATTTTGGCAGATTACATACTGCACCTTTAATATATACACTTAGTAAGCTTAAAATAGCTTGTGCTTAAATGTTAATCCAATAGATGCTTTCTATTTTTTAAGAAAGTCTAATGATACTTTAAAGCTCACATAACATAACAGTTGCAGGACGTCAACATGACATCAGATTGAAGTTGTACCCCAACATTGTGGGGACGTTGCGTTTTGTTTGGAAATGAAAATCGGGTTGTCATCAAAACCAAACATCCAACATCCAACATAAAATCAACCAAATATCAATGCCTAATGATGCAGCTTAACGTTGTGTGGACGCTACCACTATAACGTCTATCAGACGTTGGATTTTGGTTGCCATATCTGATGGATAAATGTCAGTATTTGACATCAATATAACGCTGGTTTAAGATGTTGGCTCAATGTTGATCACTTTCCAACACAACCTAAATCAACCAAATACCGTTGTTATTGGACGTCAAAATAATGCTGTCCTTTAATGCTGGCTAGACATTGAGTTTTGGTCACAAGACGTCTTGTGACGTTGTGTGCCTGCTGTGAAGCTTAATATAATATGATATTGTACGTGTTTTAACATAAGTGTAAGCGTTTTCATATCCACTTTCTAAGCTTTAAACACTTAAATAATTCACTTAAACAGTCATGGCCGAAGAAGCACTAATGACGGTTATATATGTGTGTGTGTGTGTGTGTGTGTGTGTGTGTGTGTGTGTGTGTGTGTGTGTGTGTGTGTGTGTGTGTGTGTGTGTATGCGTGTGTTTACGAACTAGTCAGTGTGTAAATATGTACAATATGTGTTTATCTGTACTGTATGTATGCATAAGTGATTATATGTGTACATACAATGGAAACTAAAGTTGTATTGCATAACCTCTAATCTTTACTTAACATACTATGCATAACAGAGAGATAAAATACTAATTTCCTCATTTCTATTGCCAAAAGGCCAAGTGCTTGACCAAGCAGCTGAGATTAGAAAAGATTATTATGCAAAACACCTTTGAATAAAGAAAAAACCTACAAACAGGCACGCAATTACCCATAAACATGTTACCCCCTAAACCCAAACTCCTCTCAGAGCAGGAAACAGCTGACCTGTACAACAGTGTGAGGTCACTCATTGTCTATTGTCCTTTAAGGAAACCACAGTGTCACAAACGTGACCTAAAATGAACAAGCAGGAAATCAAAAATATTAAGTATATCGCTTGCCAGTAACTTTTTGAATGGCTTCTAGCAATGCAATGTTTTTTGTGCTATTATCAAATCTTAAAGAATGTAAAATAATTAATATATAAACATGATCTTTGCACGTGAGCGTTCAAAGTAAATGCATGTTCACATAAACGTTTGAATCACTTGAATTTATCAAAAGAATTTGCGACATGCTCCAATTCTAAGTTGACAATGATTTGTGAAACTTTCGAGCAGAAGTGAAGCTGTTAAAAAAAAAGTTTCCCTGTTTTTGTTAAAATAAAAGCTCTATGTTTAAAAGCATGATAAAAACTGATTTTTAAATGAACAATTTACACAGAAAATACACATTGTATAAACCTTTACTTTTCTTTTTGTTTTAAACATGTTTGAGTTTCAATCTTTACAAAAAAAGATATTTTGAAGAATGTTAGCCACTGATTTCAATATGATGTTTTAGCACTACTATAAATGTACCGGTTTTTAAAATTCTTCAAACCATCTTTCAAACAGAAAAATAAAACTGATAAAGATTTGGAACCACTTGAAAGGGAGTCAATTTTTATTTTCAGGTAACTTATCCTTTTAAATAATTGACTTTTAAAATAGACAACAAACTAAATTAACCCTTTCTTTTGGAATTACCCATTATCTAATAAACATATGCACCATCAATCCTCACATCTCATTCATAACAAATATAGCGGTTAGTTAATTTGTGTAAAACAAGTGAGTAAACTTGTAGCCTGAAAAGTTGATTTCATTTATAACAAGTTGATTTTCATTTATAACAGGTGTATTCTCTTTTTTTAATTAAAGTCAACTGATTAACAGTAAATCAAAATGATCCGTTATGATGACAATGACTTTAAACGAGTCAACTCACAAGGAACCACATTTATTTTAATCTTCATCATCTCATATAAAATGATGCATGACACTTATGGGTAATCAGAAATTTGGCCTATTGAAGTAATAAGGAGAAACCCAGATAGAGCTATTATTCCTAAATACCAGCAGTGCTGTCCCTGACTGAGTGTCGCACATGTTGCTCTAGACACACTGCTGAAGAATGCAGACCCTGCGAACAGTTTACAATCATTTCATGCTGCGCTTTACAGTTTATGCTGCACATTTCAGCCCAGATTGTTTTGCATTGCAAATAGGCTGTTACATAAGAATTGGGGGGAGTTAGAATTTATATTTCGCATAACAAATCCATATGTGATTTTGCTTATTTCAGAGATATGTTCATTAATAAAATGCAAAGTTTCATTGTAGATGTGAAATGTCTTCTGACACGTGTTCTCTAAATCGACTATGGGTTTAGTTTTGCAGCTGTTGGTAATGGTGCTAAGGGCTAATGTTGC